AAAAAAAAAAAAAATAGATATATATTTCAAATTTATATAAACACGATAACAAAAAAACTAACAATGTCTTGCAATATTTGCTTTTTAGAATCCGCTGCTATCTTCTCTTCAATGTCACTTAATATCTTAGTCTGTTGCCTTATCTCCTGATTTAATTGATTTAATCTTTCGGTCAAAAAGTCAACTTGAACTTGAACAGTATCTGATAATTAACATAAAAAAGTTATGTTTGTAATGTAAATTAAAAGAAATATTTATTTATTTATTTTTTTAAAAAAAAAAGAATTACCTCGACCCTGCCCCATAACACATATATGAGTTTCTTGGTCTGTCTTCTTGTCTTCATATGTATCATTTTCGTCTGGACGTTTGTAATACATCATTTGTGGACTTCTCATTAAAGGCAATACTCTAACACCAGGTTTAGAATCTGGTAACATCAAATCCAACTCAACAAAATTAGCTTCATCGATCCATTCTTCATCTTCAGCATACGTTACCATGAAATCTTCATCTTTTCCTAATAAGAATTCTCTTCCATCACTATCACTTTCATCGGAAAAGCTTGAAAATACATTTTCTTGTACGTATCGAGCAGTAATTCCTCTAAAATCTAGATTTTTTAAATCTACTTCAGCTTCATGTAAGATTATATCTCTACCTTTGACTTCTTTCCCTTCTTCCACTTCAATAATTTTCTCTTTGCTACGAAGATGCATATCAAATTTGAAACTTTCGATCTTTCCCTTAATCCCTACAATGTGCGTTCTTCCACTTAATGGTTCAAAAGCATCTTCCCGATAAAAATGACTAAGGAACAAAGTACCTACGCATATTTTGATTTTTATAGTTCCAAGATATTTTCCAAGCTTTGGAGAAGGAGGTTCAAGAGAAGGAAATAAAGCTCCTTGGCGAATGGGAATAGACATTGCAGGTTCAAAAAGAAACGCCCACGATAGAATATGTATAAGTGATTTCGGACTTAATTCTATAGAGTTCTTTTCACAAATATGAGAATCATCAGATTTATTTAAATTTATGGGACATGTTACACTGACTGAAAGATGAACAAAATCGGATCGGAAACCTTTAAAAGAATCGTAGACCTAACAATATAAATAGATTAGTAGGTAATTAGGTAATTAATTAAGCGTAACAGAATAAATAAAATCACAATATAATTACTTGTCCCTTTGGTACAATTGCATATTCGGGCATTCGTGTAATTATTTCATAATGAGGTATAAAATCTGTTAAGCGACATTTTCGTTGTCCTCCACAGGCTGAACATAGTCCATGATCATTATCACAGAGTCTTTGAAAATGAACCCCCATACCATATCTCACACCTCCACAAAGTTTCATTATTCTCTTCAAAAAATTACCGTGTAATACATCATTTATTGTAGCATTTGATGAATTCTGAGTTCGTATTGTACTAGTTTCCGAATCAGGTAAACTCTCATTCTGAAGCTTAGCTTCTAGACCAGTATTATCAGCGGATAAACTGCCATCAGAGACCACAGCGACTAAATTAGGAATAGCACAAGTAAATTCTTCGCTATCAACCTGAAGGACTTCATTTTGATCATTTGAATAACCTAATCGTATTTCAACATGCTTGCTCCAACATAAGACAAAACCAGCACCGCGTCCGGTAACTAAATATGGATCACGTGTGCCCTTAGCATAAAATTGTAAATCACCTGATCCCTTGAATTCAGCTAATATTCTAACGTGCATCATTATTCTCATTTTATCCCAAAATCCGATGGCTTCTGAAGGATCAGGATTAGGTTTAGTAAAACTTTCAAATACTTTCGCGAAATGTTGTATTGCAGGTTGCATAGAAATACTCCATGAACAAACAGTTGGCCGTGAAGAATCAATTTTTACACGAAGGTCCGAATATAGTTTAACTGGTGAGACAGTTCTTGGAACGAGAATAGTATATTTACTATCATCACCTTTTATATGTCGTGGTGTAACAATATCCACAACTGCTCTTCTAATTGATTCCGCTCCTCTTAATTCTTCTCCAACCACCAAATCTCCTTCAAGAAAGAAAGAGTATATATTCTTTCCACGAAGACTATCTGTAGATGGAATATGGGCTAATGGAAGCGGATAATCACGCACTTCAACCCAAGCTTCTCTTAATTTCGCGCTCAAATGCATTGGAACTAAAACAGCAAATTTTGTATCTAACGGTAAACCCTTCCCAATATCACTCATATATCTTGGTAATTCCTCTATTGGAAAAGAAGGAGTAGAAAGTGTAAATAAGAATTTCACTATAGTAGCACTAAATAAAGCAGGAAACTCTGAAGGTTTTGTTGTTTGAATGGGTAGAAATTCCTCTTGCAGATCATCGTCATTTTGATGTAAATTCGTACGTGATGGATCTGCAGCCCTTACACATTTAATCCAGCTTTTAGAATTATATTCTTTCAACGCTTTACGTGCTGCATCAATGCTTAAATTCGCGTGCGGAGATGGTTGCGGGCGGAAGGCACCAATAGTTCTTTCTTCATGTAAAGTGGTTGTGGATCCACCATTTTCGCTTTGTGATTGGCTTCCATTGTTCTTTGACTGTGAAGCTTCATGAGTTCTGATGGCTTGAGCTTTTGCTTCAAAAGCAATATCCCTACTCAATCTAGCCTTTTGCTCTAGACAACCGACTTTCCATATTAAAGATAATTTCGATTCAAATGGATCGTCATCAATACGGAATGTTATCAACCCAACCTTAAGTTGTATTGTAGGTAAAAGTTTTGCATCTTCTTCCACTGGATCAGGTAAACTTGATTCTTCATTCCCAAAGATTCGTTCAATTAAATGTTTCACAGCTTTTGCCGTATTAGCTATACTTTCAATTACATCAGCTAAAATATATTTATGAGGTATACGAACATGAATTGAGTCTAATTGAATACGTATCATCTTATCGAATTTTTCCACATTATTTTCATTTAAATCATTATTTTTAGATTTTCCATTTTTTGTGTCATCATCCAAAAGAAGAATTTGTGTATTTTCCACTCTTCCTATTTCATCCCATAATCCTTCCTCTACCGGACTTGTTCCATAAACACGTAATTTTTTAATACGAACTCCATGATCTGTAGGTGAAACGAACTTGTAGCTAAGCAAATCCATTCTTGCAAAAATTTTGTTGTTATCCTGTAAATCAACCGTAACATTAATATTATTCACTGCAACACTGACATTTATCTTTGATAATATTCTACTTGATGAATTTGAAGAGGTAGGTAATGTGTTCTCATTCTCATTATCAAATGATATTTGAAATAATCGAAAGATATTTATGATACCAACTAAACAACAATAATGATAAAGTAACGAATATTCTAAATTAACTTCCTGAATTCTAACTGTAGCGTTGACAACTATATCGTAACCATTGTGTGAATATTCAAGTGTAAAATTACTTTGAATTTCAAATTCCGGTATATTTATTAAAGGAGTCGTATTTTTAAATAATTCTTTGTCCCAATTTGCCAAAACAGGTGTCAATTTTAACTCTCTCATAAATCCTCGAAGTAGACCTCCAGTATCATATTGAATTTCACTAAAATCTTCAGTTGATATCCCAAGTTTAATTCTTTCATTATAACATGCCATCGGATCAATTGATGCTCTTGATCCTTTATAATTGAATGCGATTTCCTGTAATCTAAAATCAATCCCTCTTGAAGTTGATGAACCAATAAATGAATCTATTCCAGCAATTCTTATACCTATTGAATTTAAAGATACATGACAGAGTAAAGCTTCCGTGTAAATTATTGGAGATCTCACGCTTACGATTGGAGGTTGTACCATCTCTGTTGTTGAAAAATCATTTCCTTTTTTAATTTCATCCTTTTGAAATCTTTTTGCAACATCTACAAGTTGTTTTAATAAAGAGAAAGTTGATTGATCACATAAATTAATCTCAAGTTCATCAACCATCCAACCAATATCAGCCTGAATTGTTTCCGTTTCTAAAGCTGTAATGAAAGTTGTAGTATCATTATCATTATCATTATTTAATGAACCAATAATTCCTAGAGCAGAAATTGCCAAACTAAATTCTAAAGATTGATTAAAGATTAAATCGTCCTCAAAAGTATATAATTTCATATTACGAGTCTTTAAACTTACGATCAAATTATAAATTAAAGAAAAGTTTGGAGGGGTCCAACCTCTATTATATCTTCTTGATAATACATGTTTATATTGAGTTGAGGGTAAATCAATTAATTCAGTATAATCACCGTTAATATCAAATAATATATCTTGAAATCCAAAAGATAATTGTGAAAAATCACCAATTTGCGTATGATTAGGGATTCCAGTAATTTTAATTAGTGGATTAATTATAGAGCAAGTGGCGACTAATTTTGGAATACCTTTAATCTGTTGACTTGACTCTTTATGATCGAGAGATCGCGAACGCGATGATTGATGAGATGATATAGTAGATGCATGTTTTTCTTCGATATCAAATTTTTTGATTGAATCGATGATGTTTGCAATAACATCAAATTTTTCATAATCAATGGATATTAACGGGGAAGAAATTTCTAAAGTACCACTTAAAGATAAGGAATTTGGATCATAATCAGCGGTTTGAATAAGTGGTTTGGATATTAACATTTTACTAATTATTTTATCCACTTGAATCACACGAAAAGTTTTGTCATTATTTTCTATGAGATCACCACGAATATCATCAACAGAAAAGTCCATTATTAATTCTATTGGTTTTGGAATATCTTCAGAAAAAATGATAGAATTACGATGACTATTAAAAGAATCACCATTATTTTGTTTCAAAGAAGTAGATAGTCCTTTAATTAATAATTGAAAATCTAAAGATAAATCATTATGATTGATATTTTCCAAATCAGAAAATTCGTATTTAATATTAATTAAATTAAATTTAAGAATAGCGTTTCCAAAATATTCAATTGGACTCTTTTTTCTACGAGACATTCTTATTTTTCTAGCCAATGAGGAATCCAATAAATTAGCCATATTAAAACCTTTTGAATTATTTGATGAATGATTATTTACACGACCAATGGGACCTCTCTTTACTTTTTTTGGAAGTTTTGATTGAATAATATTAACTAAACGAAGTATAGAATCTATTCCAATATTTATACGATTCAAATCAACATTAATATCAAAAGATATTAGTGAAGTACAAGTAGGAGAAAGATGACAAGATAAAATAATTTCAGTATAAGAAGGTAAAGAAATAGCGGGAGAAATATTTGGAAGATGTTGAATTAAACTACTAGTACTATTCAATTTATTAAAAGATTCAATATCTTGAATTGATAATGAAGAGAAAGAGAATGTAATATCCAAAATTTTTTTAGAAAATACGTGACGACGATTTCGAAATGAATGATGTGCTTGTGAATCATTACGAAAATGTTGATTAAATTGTTTATTATCACTATAAATATTATCATTACTATTATTATTAAAATTATTATTATTTTTAGAATTTTCAACATCAACATCAGCGAATAAAGACATTCCTAAATTACATCCTTCAATTTGAAATCTTCCTAAATCTTGAATTAATAAATTAATATTTGAAACATCCACATTAACATAATTTGTTATAACAGATAAAAAAAATTGAGAAGGTATTGAAGATAATTTTCCCATAATAAATTTAAAGACGCGAACTGAAGACCACCAAGCTTTTTGAGGTACAACAGAAATTAAACTTTGTCTTCTTACATGAGCTCTTCTTGATTTCGCTTGAGTGAAAATTTTTACAGAAGAAAAATTTAAATTTAAACCATCAATTGTTATAGTTAACCAAGTTTTACGATATAAATTTGGTCTTCTTACTTGTAAATAAAATTTATTTACAGAAATTTTAAAAGAATGTTGAGATTGTTGAGGACCAGGTATAATACCACTATAAGATAAGTCACCTATTGATAAAAAACCTATAGATCCAACATGAATTTTAAATTTTTTTCCAATAAAACGAGTAAAATATTCGACGCCATAATATAAAATGACGAAAGATATTATAAAAATGATAATAACTTTGATAGAATAATACATTATTAACTAATATGTATAAAGGAGCAGGATAAAAACGAAAAATGATCGACTAAAGCAGGAATGAAAAACTTGAGAAAGATAAACACTATGGGAATTCCGATTTTGCGATCAAGTGTTACGTTACATAAAAAATAATATTAATAATAATGGATAATCTGGAAGAACAAGAAAAAGGCAAATCATGTCATAATTATAACAAAGCATAAATCAGGCAAAGCATATCTTAAATTAGTATTAAATGTAACGTGTTACAAAGTCAAATTCATACAAATTCATACATTGATTCGTTACATCATTATTAATTATATGGTTTAATAATTTACTGACAACAAAAAAATTTAACCTTATTTTGGTAAGATGGCGCAGAATAATAAATTTCGGCGCAGTATAATAAATTTTGACGCAAAATGTCGATTTAATTGAATTTTTACCACTAATCGAGTTTACAGGAAATGATCTCGTAATTGAATCCAATTATTTGTTTATTTTTCATTCGTTTCAATCTATTCACTGTTTTATCTTATACAATATTCGGATCGTCATCATTATTTTTTTTTGTTTTTTGTTTTTTATTTAGGAATAAATTAAGTTCTTTTCATATAATTGAACCCTTTTTTGTTATAATCTTTATAATATTATTCTCCATTGTTTATATTGCAAAATAATTAATTTAATCAATTTGTGTTATACATTGTCAATCAACGGACTATCCGAAATCCGAATTGACGAATAGAAATCCATTTATCCTCCAATTCGTTCACATTTGCGATTTCAAATGATTTTCATTATCCTTTCAAAACAAAATTTTTGATGGTAATTAAAAATGAATAATTCGTAATTTGTAGTAATATTTAATAACTCGGATTTTATTATTATTCGTATTAAAAATTTGTAACAAATAATATAACGGATAATATAACAGATAAATAATATACCAAACAAATTATTAAATAGATAAATAAAGTTAAAATCTTGCTCATTTATACTAATATAATTAAATTGCATCAATGAGTACGAAATTGGTTAATGAAAAAGTATGACGATGACAATCATGGCATGTGAAAAAGTCAAAGAATATTCACGTGACTTTAAAACTCCGCTTAAATTAGTTTAAACTAACGTTTTCATCAAACTTCCTAGAGTCGTTAACATAATTCAATGTTCACGTGATATTTAACCAATAATATGCGTTATTTATAAGTCATGAACTCGATTACATTCAGGTGATCACCGCAGTTGCAATATTATGTGACGGATAATTTCTGAAATCTTTGTATATTCGAATGGTTTACTTTTTTTATTTCCTTTTTATAGAAATAAATAACTTTCTTACAATGCTATTGTTTGAAATTTCATTGAAGAACGAATTTTTTCATGCAAAAAAGGATTGTTATTGATATATCAAAATAGTATCAAATAAGGGAGATTTACTTTTTTTCGTACATCAATAGCTAATTTTTCTAAAAATAAGAAGATTCGGGAACTTTTTTTTTTAATTATAAATTAACGTGTTTTTCTCTTATCTCATTAAAAAAAAAAAAATGTTTTTTTTCGAGAAATAAATAAATATTCATATCGTTATTTTTTCTTCAAAAAAAAAAAAAATTATATATTTTCTTCTCTTGTGCAGTAATGTCTCAACATAGATCGAAAGTTAATGGTAAAGTTGTTGAGACGTTTCTCGATTTACGAGGAAAACATGACTTCGTAGTCGTGAAATTGGACGACGGTGTTCAATTCGAATTTCCTGTACCAACTATTCAGGAAATTCGTGATAGATTTTTCTTCAAAAAGGCAAAAACTCAACCTGATAAACCGGCTCGTCCACCAAATAAGTTTTTTATTTTTCGTTCTATTTTTCAAGCGGCTATCTGTAATTTAAAATTTCAAGTTCCAACTGTTTCTTGTCTTGCGAGTGAAGCTTGGAAAAAGTGTACTCCTGAGGTTATTGAGTTATTTACAAAACTTGCAAATACCGCAAAAATTGAACATGGGTATATCAATCCTGGATATGTTTATAAACCTAATAGGAAACAACGTCATACAAAACCTCAAATTAATCCTGGTAATTTAATGAGTCCTATGATTTCTCTCTCATGTTCACCAACTTCTCCAATTTGGACTTCTCCTTCAAGATCAAATTCATTTATGCAACAAGAATCACGTCCTTCAATCTCTTTTGCGTTACAAACAAACTCGTTTACAACTTTTGAAAATTTTCAGACAACTTTCCCTGCTCAATATACTTATGCTATGATTGATCCTCCATTTCATTATATGCCTCCTAATGAATCGTCTCACATTCATTACCAACATTCTCAACACCCTAATATGTATATTCCACATATACCACACAATGAAGTATCAATCGATCAATTTAACGCGTTTAGAAATTCTCATAATTCTTACACTCACGATATTAATACTATTTTATCCATGAGAAAGAATGATAATGTAACGTCAAAAGAATCTAATCTTGCCGATCAGCCTTTGGATAGATATAAAATTATGCAAGACATTCGTCCAGAACGTGAGGATAAAACTTCTATAGTGGAGAATAATCATTGATTGAATTTTTTATTTACTAAATAATCAATTAGTCTTAAAATTTTATGCTTTTTTTTGACTATATAGTATAAAAAATTAACGCGTTTGTGACAACTTTATTATAAGTTTAACAAAAAAAAAAAATCATTCAAATTAAGTTTTAATTATGATTTAACTACATTCCTTTATTTTTTTCCCCCCATATTGTAATTTATTCTCGTTTTGTCGTTAATTCTCTTTTACCAATTTCAATTTATTACATACAATTATTTCCTCTTTTCTTTCTAAGCTATTTAGTACTTAGTATTACAATATGCAAATTATTTTTTTTTGGTCAAAATTAAAATAAATATGATCCCATTGATTTTTCACAAAGATTTGTTCTAATCACATATCTGTGTTTAACAATAATATTTTCAGAGCCAAGCTTCTCCATAGCTACATTGTTATATTAGGCCTTGGTCTGATTAAGTTGGCAATAACTTCCACCATTTTAAATAGGTTATTGTATAGTCATACGGCTATGTTTTGTATGTAAAACAATAAATAAAATAATCTCATTTTCTAGTTGCGGAATGTGCGCGCATATGCTCCGCACATGACCAAAAATTTTTGTGTACTGTTATGTAATTTAATTTCGCACATTCCGCACATTCCGCACATTTTTTGCTATTTTCCGCACGTTTCCACACATTTCCGCACATTACATAGATTTGATCGGGATAAAACGGTTAATCAACGTGAAAACCATTTTTTATTTTTAACATGATATAATAATAACTGCTTTAACTGCTTTAACTGCTTTATTGTATTGTTGATTGTTTTTGTAACAAAATAAGGTTTTTAGTTTTTACAATTTTAAATGTATAAAAAAAATCTCGTGATAAATCTCGTGTAACCATGAATGGAGTCAAATTGTTTGAAGTTCTTGGTAATTATCTAATTATCTCTATAGGGTAACCTATCAGTTTCATATTTTCTCTCTACTCCATGTTCTTATCTTAGATAGTTACCTGTAGATTGTTAGCTAGTTATGTAAAACAAAATATAATAAAATCCTTTGGAAATTGTGGCTACAGTATTGGAAGGTAAGTCTTTGCGCGCTTTGTTTTGAAGTTATCTCTTCCCTGGTACTTATAAGTTTTTCTTTCTCGCTAGAAATCTCAGTAGAAATCTCAGTAGAAATCGTAAGTAGAACTAACTTTTTATACTTAACTGTGAATGGCACTTGTTAAGTTTCCTGCTTTACCGCCAACAATACAGGTATTTCCTGCTGAGAAACACTCCCGACTTTCTTGTAACCAAACAATAATAATGAATTGGGTGAGAACATGTTTAGCAAATCATTCACCTTAATTAAAGTTAAGTATCTTTTCCTCCTCAATAAGTCAGTTTTGAAGTGGACGGAGCTAAAATGATATATCTCTTTGGATGATTGGATGGGGTGCGATAAAACACCTTCAATGGTAATTGGAGAGTGCAGTGAGCTGCGGTTCTTGGTGCTTTGCCTTACCAGAATTTGTTTCCTTTCTGTCACAATATTAATATAACTGTCAATTGTCCTTTTTTTATTAGAATGAAAAAAAAAAATCACACTTTGGTTTATGAATTTCGGGAATCTTTCAGTACGGCGGCATCTGCAGTGGATGAGAAGTTATGAAAGTAGTTGTCTGCTCGGTTATCTCTTCTTCATATCTTGCTGCTTGTTCTCCCCCACTTCCAGGGCACAAAGAGTATCCAACGCCATCGCCTCATCCTTGTGCTGTACGTGAATAATGGCGAACGCGTTATGATTTATGAAAAGCGTGAATTATTAAAGGTATTAGCAAATAGAGACTATCATTCTCCCGAACTTAGTGAAGCGGATGATGAGGGGATCCGGGCAATCAATGTGTACGACTATTCTTAGAGGTAACCAGCACAGAAACTGAAAAATCGGCTGATGTAACTGAGCACATAGCTTTGATGGTATCCCCTATAGGTGAGATTGTCCCCCTTCGTTAAATATGTGATCCGTATATGTGTCGAAAGCATATAGCTGATAGAAGACTAACGTATCCCTTCTGTCATCTTAGTAGGAGTATGCCAGTGATGCCACAATTGCCGCAAAGCGGAAGTTGGAAACCAATAAGTGAACATATAGCCTTAATATTTTGATCTGTTTATATGCGAAGGTGTATGGTTTTGTGGAAATATTTAATCTTCGCAAACTCCAACACCAATAGAAGGTAATTATCCATATATATTTATTATTCATTAGATATGTTAATAAACCTTTGATCATTTATTTTTTAGATACCACTCAAAAGATAAAAAGAAGCTGTTACACCGGTATTAGAAGTACCGAAAATTTCGAAATTTGCAGCATAAAGTTTACCACAAATGCTTTAAAATTATGCTTCAACCTCTATTGGAAAAGCCGGATGCGTTATTTTTTGGGATTAATGGACATCAGATGACTTTCGCTGCTTCTAAATATGTTAAAACATACAGCAAACAATCAAAGCAAAGTAAGTGATAATTTCCAGACTTGATAATTATCGACATTACATTTTACATCTATTAAATCTATTCAATTTACTAGGTGATAATACATTAGCATCATCTGATGATGAACAACATTTTGGATAGGATTAATATTCTATTACTGTCATAATGGAATGTTACCAAAAAATCGACTTGTTCGGCTGGTGGTACAGGCCAAATCAGAACACTTTGAAATTGTATGTTAATACTTATAATCAATGGGAGGAAATAAAGAACTTGATAATGCACAAATATCCTAATGCTAAAGAAGTGGTCTCAAGTAGGTGGATGAACTATATTTTTAATTTGTTCAAGAACAGTTTATAGGAATCTTGAATATGGATAGTTCATACAAATGTCCTTGACGTGAACATAAACACGTGGGGTAAAAGAAAAGAGGATTGTTTAAAGTCAGTCATACTTACAACTCTTTTTTTGCATTACTCTCCAATGCAAAGACAATTTCTAGATCAACCTTTTAAGATGAACCCGATCAAATTTACAAAATTTGAATTATATGTACAATTTTTATTAAACAAATTGAGTAATTCTTCAACAAAAGAAGAATTTGTTGAAGAGCTCAGAGATAATTCTTAGAATTGGCCTACCTAATAACGTAAATTTAGAAGATAATCTCAAGATTACTTCGGAGGTCAATTTGCTGAAAATGGAAGATTCTTTTTTCGATCAAAGTAAGGAGGAGACAATAAAAGCATTGGTGGCCTAATTAGTAAAAACTTACGATAAAGTTCTTCAAGAACATGTTGAGGCGGATATCGATAGACGAAACAGTTTCCGAAATTATTTAATTTTTTAAATATTTATAAAAAATAGAAATATTTTGTAATATATACAAAATTAGATTTAAAGGACAGAGAATAATTATCCGATGATCTAATATTATAAATATATAACTTTTATTATTGTTATGAAATATGCAAGATTATAAATTCCAAGAACTGTGGAAATGGCTAATAGAACGTAATTATTTATTATTTAACTTGATTTTTCATTTGATTCATTGCATTTATATTAATTAATTGCTTTATTTTAAGCATGCGTTCAAGCCGCTCATAGGAATAGAACAGATCGTCGAACATACGCGTATAGAACGTTATCTAGAAGAGAATACAACGGCATTCTAATAAGTCCGGTTGGTCCAATAGCTGATTCTATAATTCATTCAGTAATACATTACTTCAACCATAATCGACCCTAAATTCGAACTTGTTGATCGTGGATCCTTCGTAGTGAGACTAACGTCGGAGATGAATCAGCAAAATATGCCGCTGTGATTCCCGAACCTCAAAAATGTTTGAAGACCATTATTTTCTACTTTTTTTATCTGTATTAGATCAGTATTTTATAGTTAATATTTCTTCGTGGCTATTGTGTCCATTACGTAATGTATTAAAATTTTTAAATTTTGTGGTGTACATAAAAACCAAACTATTTTTACATCAGTATTGAGGCAAAAGAATTCATTATGCTCATGTGCAGTACACATATTTACTTTATAAGTTAGGAAACATTTCTAACTTGTCATTTAATACTTGTAGGAGCCATTTTTATTAAGAATGATAAGTGCAAAATGCCCTGAACACATTGAATGCACAAAATAAAGAGTTCTCAGATTGTTATATTGTTTATAAAATGACCAATAAAAAAAATAGCAAGTAAACATTAACCATTTAATTTTATTAAAAATTACAATTTGTAAAAAGACAATATATTTCCGCCTCTCTTAGTATTAAGGAACAGCATATAAAGAAAATATGTATAGAAATTCAAAATTATTCAAATTTTCCTTGTAACCTGGCAGCTTTAAATTTGGAAATTTTTTTAGGTTTCTCTTCTATTATTGGTTGCGAAGTTGATTTACTATCTTCAGCAATAAGATCTTCAGAATCTTCCACGGTCTAAAACAAAAGTCGGGTCAATTAATTATTTCAAAATTACAAAAAAAAAAATATTTTAAAACGTCATACTTACATCTTTAAATTGTTTTGGTTCAAGTATGGAAGTTAATCCACCTTCTTGAGCTATAAACTGTAACCGTTTTTGATGATATTCCGAACTTATCTAAAAAAAAAATAATATGTATATATATGAATATATAATATAAATTCAATATATTAAAACATGCATCTCAAATTTTAAATAACCTCTTTCATCCAAATCTCATCTTCTAATGCTTCCACATCAACGTCTTCAGAACGAACCTCTTTTTCCACAACAGTTGATTTGACTGGTGAATTTGTAATGCGTTGAGAATTTTTTGTAATAATATTCTCTTTTACACTTCCAATGGAAACAGTTGAAGGTGTAGGTTTACGTGTTTCTTGTGGAGTATATAATAAATTAGATCGCCTTCCTGATTTGAACAATGATGTAGGCTTTTTTCTTTCTTCAGGTTTATTTAAAGGTGAAATGAAATCTATGTCTTCCGGCGTAATTTTTTCCACGTCTGTTGATTGCTCATTTTGTTTTGCTTTCTTTAGCATATGCGCGTAAATATCAGCTGGTGATCGAATTTCTTGTGCTTTTGAAGATTGATTAGCGAATGTAACTTTTTTATTATGTTTAACTGTTGATTTTTCTTTTACTCTCTCCTCCACTGTCACCTCCTCCTCTTCATATTCTTCTTCAGAATATATTTCGTCATCTTCCTCAACTTCATCATCCCAATATTCTTCATCTTCTTCCTCCTCCTCCTCCTCTAATTCTTCTTCATAATCATCTTCATCTGATCCCAAAAAATTTTCTCGTCTTAATTCCTCCTCTTCCTCTTTAATTAACTCATCCAAATATCCAAATCGATCTTCACTACTTTTAGGAGTATCTTTGCCGAGATCTTAGAAATATAAATTGATAAATCATATTTATTTAACGTGTAAAATAGAATAATATATCATATATTTTACCTTTAACAGCTTTTTTCTCTTTAACTTGTTGTTTATCTTTCTTTTCATCATCAGAATTATATTCTTCCATAATATCCACAAAAGGTAATCCTTCTTCGTTAAACTATGTCCAATATAAAAAATTAACCTTCATTTTTTTTTTAAAAAAAAAAATATATATATATATAATTATATAAAAAGATCATTTTCTTATATACCTTTGATTCCTGTAAACCTGAAAGATCCAAAATATTTGAAGACAATCCAATTTTTGTTCGTTGATTTTCAAGTTGTAATTCCAAATCATTGATAGTTTTGCTCACCACTAATTATAATAATTATAATATAGGTGATTCACATCTAAAAAAAAATTCTTGATAAATGACAATCGAAGAAATCGATTTTTATTTTTTTTTCTATTATTGATCACTTACTATCCATTCTTCTTTCTACTATTCCAATGGATTGTTTTGTTGATCGTTCTACAAACCAATTATCACCAAGCATCGCCAAAATTTCATTAGTATGGATTAATTTTCCTGGCATGAATGCTAATTTACCAATTGGTACCTAATAATAAAAATTGTAATTATTTATTTACATTAATTAAAGAGAAAAAAGGATTTTTTTTTTACGTTTAAAACTCACCATAACTTTATGTTCGGTTTCATGATCTAATTCACTCAAAGTATCTTTTAAGGATTTATAATCTCGTTCATAATTTTTCCAAGTTTTTATAGTTTCTGAAGTATTAATTATTACTTGTTCTAATTTTGAACGATATAATTGTGTTTGTTCCGGTGTCATTGTCATTATTTATATTGCTTAAGGAAGAAAAAAAAAGATTTTGATATATGACAAAAAAAAAAAAAAAAAATTTTAGGTCGATAATGACGATTTGTTGGTTGATACTTGATAGTCTCAAAATGACAAAAAAATCAGCCAATCATTTTTATTTATCCTGTAGATAATTAATTATTCGTCGATTTGATCCGTTATTTTTTAAGATATCTGAATTTCTGAATTTCTGAATTTTTTTTAATCTTTAGTAAAGGTGCCATCTTAAAATAGGTGAATATTGATACTTTGTTTTACATAACCTTCAAGAAACGTATCTTGGAGATCAAATTTTTTTAATAATAATTATGATGGCATTATAGTTTCTAGCTATGACATCTAATGCCTGTTGATTAAGATGAAAATTCAGTGCGCATACATACATGAAAATCAAAAAAAAATTTATAACATCATGATACCTCAGTATATGAATTGGTTTGGCCGATGGAGTTGCTGAATCTGAAAGTCCAAGACCAACATCAAAAATTAGCGTAGTCATATGTATATTAAAATTGTGTTATTCAGTTACAATAAATAAAAATAAATAAAGAAATAAATTTGATATTCAATTTTTTTTTTTTATTAATTTTTTTTTTTTTTTTTAATTGATACACCATCATAACAACCACCTCATAAATTTTGCAATGCTAACTGACTATTGGACGGAAGGACTAACGGAAAGATTGGGGAGGGTGCTGGACAAATATCTTCATCTTTATCATCTTTCAAGATATTAATAACTTCACTAAAAATAATTCTACGATTGTTTTGTAAATTTACTAAATGTTTTTTAATAATGTTGATTTCTAAATCAGTTAATCTTTCCGTAAATTTAAAATGTTCTGAAAATTCAAATAAACTAGATAAATGAGACGTTATATTAATTCTTAAATCTTTGAAAAGATCTAATAATTCACGTAAATCATTATCTAAAGCAATAAATAATTTTTGACATTTTAAAGCAGTTTCAGAATCAATTTCACCTAAATTATCAACCTTTTTCGTAAATTTCGTTATTAAAGTTTTTAACCAAGCAGTTAATGATTTACCATTAACTATAAATGATTTTAATTCATCTTTCAACTTTTCTACTTGTTTTATGATTCTTTCACAATAAACTTGTAATGTATTCATTTCATCCATTACTGATAGAGTATTATTAATAATATTATCAACATTATTAACTAACCCTTTAAAATTTTCCGTCAATGGAAAATATTCATCACCTCCTATAAGTGGTATCATCCGTAAAATATTTCTTCTCTTTTTTAAAGATAAATATTTTGCTAAATTTTCAACATTTTGTTGAAATATGAAAGCATAAGTTACTTCTTGATTATACATATCTAATAATGTCCTTTTTGTATTATCTAAACTTTCAGTATATTTTACTAAATTTGTGTATAACTCTTCTTCACCTTCTACTCTATCTCCTTCTTCTTTTTGTTGTGATGATAATGATGGTGTTGTTGATGCTGATGATGCTGATGATGCTGATGACGATGCTTTTTGTATTCTAGGTGTTTTAGGATTTTGCCGTTTATCGAGATCAAATAATTCAAGAAATGATGTGGTAGCTTTTAATTTTCTTACATAATCCTCAAGTTTATCGTCTATACCTGGCTTAGTAAATTGATTATTATCTTTATGATAAATTTTACGGAAGTAAATTAGATTTTTTTTTTTAAAAAGAAAAAAAGATGATATCTGAGAAACTAAAATATTACAATAAAGAATTTAAATTTATACGTACAAGGTGGAATAACCAATTCCTCAACTAATGAATGAGTCTGATTTAAACGAATATATTAGTAAAATGAATAAAATCTTTTTTTTTTTTTTTAATTAAAAAAAAATCAATTTACCTTATGAGAACAATACGAAACGGTAAAAATTATGAATAACAGAGTAATAATAATCATAAAATTCCAGAATCCTACGTGATTATTCAATTTTATCAAAAAATTATTGAAAAATTTGTACTTGATCACTTTATTATGAAGTTTGTGTTTTGAACATCCATTTGATGTATCTGACGCGATACTATTCTCATCATTATAGTCATCGTTTTCATCAAAATCATCTTCATCGCTGCTTACATTTTCCTCTTCTTCGTCAAAATCATGTACTTTTTTTTTAAAAAAAAAAGGATAGAAGCTTAATAATTGAAATTTTTTATAAAAAAAAAAAAAAAAAGATCGCTCGTATAAGGGACTAGAGACTTACAATTGTCGACTTTTTCTAAATCCACGATAACACCATCTTTAAATCTCAGTTGATGAGTATATTTTCTATTATTATAATTACTTCTTGGTTTAGGTTCGATCACAGCATTAGTGTCTGAAATAAAATCATTTCCTAATCTAAATTCCACATCAGATTCTTTCAATACTAAAACATTATGTATTTTCTTTTCAACCTTTTTACCATTACCCGGAGGAGTAGTGGTAGAACCATTAATTCTAATATTATTTAGCCCACTAGCAGAATTCTCGAATAAAATTGTTAAATCACAAACGCCGGCAATATTTGAAAATTTATTATTTCTTAGTTGATTACTATTTGTTACTTTACCAAAACGATATCTGTTACAATCTAATCCATGGTCTACAAATCTCTTTAAAGATATAATAGAATAAGTTTGCGATGGATTTAAGTATCCATAAAATTCATTATGCAATGTTGTATCTTCATATTTAAATTTATATATTTTCTTTCTTTTTTTATTTGAACCCTTGTTAAAAAAGTATACCATCTTTTGTTCGTGTTTAAAAAATAAAAAATAGTTATTTAAAGAAATAAAGTTTGGTATATTTAAGATTAAACGGTAAGTTATAAAAAAAACGGAGAGAAAAAAAAAATTTTTTTTTAAGCAAAACGGTACTTTTTACGCATAAAAAAATTTGAGATTTTTTTTTTTATTTATACATGTTTTTGGGTTATATTATAATAAATTAACCTATTGTGACAATGCATCATTCTACATTTGGAAAGAAATTTTTCACCAATAAACAAATGATACGGATTAACTATAAGAAAATGAATACAAATTTGTTTAATACATAATAAAATTTCCGAAAATTTTCGGAAATTTTAAAGGTATCTCGGAATTTCGGTTAGATCATTTTAACCGCAATACTAAAAGCAATACCTCAAAATCCGGTTTTTTAAGATACACATAAAAAAAAATACATATATGTATAAAAGAGGAGTCATTCAATCACTTTTTTATCATAGTATAAAATCGAATATAAAAAAAAAAACCTGTTTTTTTGATAATTTATTCCCAATACATCTTTTAATTTTATATACATATTGATTTGGTGACAAAAAAAAAAAAATAAAATCATGATAAGAAATTGTGAAACCACATATATGGAATTCAATGAACTTTGTACAACATTTTTTATATGGGGAACTAATCATAAAATTTATTCAGTAAATCTGGTAAATATGTAAATCGTATAATAAATATTATTAATAAAAATTAATAAATATCATAAATCAGTAAAAATTCGGTATATTTCTTATTTAAAATCATTTAATCAATTATCTTATTTATAACATAGATTTTTTTTTAAACCGAGTATAAGATACAAATTACAAAGAAAAATGCAACTCAAAGGAAAATCAAAATATTTTTTTTTTTTTTTACGTAAAATTTTGGGAAATTTTTTTTACACAAAAGATCGTTAAAAAATTTGTTTTTTTTTAAAAAAAAAAAATCTAAAAATAGTGAATCTAATTTGATGATTATTTAAATTGTATATATGTATCAATAAATCAATAAATCAATAAATCAATTAATTATTTTTATTTTTATTTTTGATTTGATATTTTTTTAAGATTTAATTAACCGTTTACATTGAATTAAATTATAAAATTCATATTTTAATAAAATAGAGAGACGATCTGCGTAAAATTGCAGGTTTCCTGCATTTTACAAAAAAAAATTTATATAAACCGGGCTCAACCGGGAATTGAACCCGGGACCTCTCCGACCCGAACGGAGAATCATACTACTAGACCATTGAGCCAAGAATATGCTACACAAACTATAATTTTATTTATTTTAATCATTTTAGTTCTCTCGTACATGCAGTCGCATTAAAAAAATAAAATTTATATTACTAGAAAAAAGGGCAAAGTAATAAAAAAAACGAAAAAATAATAAATTTTTGCGTATAATAACCTTTTACGAATAAATATTATAATATATATATATTTTTTTTTTAAGAAAAAGAGGAAAAAAAACAAAAAGTTTGAAAAAAAACAAGGGATGAGAATAAATTTCCGGAGGCTTTTTGCTCATAGTTTTTAAATATAAAAAAAAAATCGGAAAAAAAATCATGATAGATATTAAAGTTAAAAAGAAATCCCGTTTGTCAAACAACGCACTTAAAAAAGCAGGTTTACATGAATACAACAACTATATTATTATTAAAGAACTTTTTGCAAAAATACCTTTTTTTAAATATTTGTAAACTATTAATAATTAGTAATACAGAGCCAATAATAGTCGAATTATGATTTAACACCGAATTTGGGAATTTGGGGAAAAAATAATGTAAACGTATAACGTGTTGCCACCGTTTTAATAAAAATTTTTTTCTTGTGTCATTTGTGTAAAATGAAAATCCGTTGATCATTGATTTTTTTGGAGCAGGTTACGATTTATTTTATGGGAGATTACGTTATGTTTTGTTGCAAAAATGTTTAAAAAGGGTAGATGCGGCGGATTATATAAAATTTTTTTTCTTGTCTTTTTTGTCTTTTAACGAAAAGGCCAAAGGAGACCATAAGACCATGAGACCATTTAAGACCATAATAGGTATTTCTTTCTTTTTTTTTAACAAAAAATTCTATGGGAGAATCAAAAATTGTCAAAAAATATACTCTTGGCGTTTGAAATATTTCCTTTGTTCAGTTAGATATGAATATCGCTTGTTTATAATCTGTTTGATAGATAATAATATTAATTTTATCTATTTTTGATGGTTATATTGTTTATGTTAACTTTAGGTTCTATATAAAGAAGGTTTCCGCGCTAATAAAGTATTTCCAAAATGCTAAAGTTATGAATTGAACGAGAAGTGCATGAATTATTTATTTCACGAATAATTCTAGTAAGTTAATTATATTATGAAGATGTAATTTCCATTCGGTGGATCTCATGAGGACAATACTTGACCATTAACTTTCTAATTAATTTTGATTACAGGTCTCTTCAACCCAGATTCAATTGCACTTTCAACATTTTCTAATCTTTTAAGTATTACTTTATAAATTCCAAATCTTTTTAATTGTTGTTCTTTAGAATCCTATTCTTTGTTATCTTCCATCAATCCAATCTGCTGTATAAATTTCAGAGAATCCTCTTTTTGTTAGATATCAATATTTTGTAAATTATTATATGGGATCTATTCAACTATCTTATTTGATAGCGTTCGTTTCCATTTGACAATTTTGTTTTAAATTATCAATATTATTATTTCCAGATGTCCAATTTGAAAAATTTGCTTTTAAATAATTTCGAACACAATATTCACAATATAATGTAGCTTAACATTCTTCTTGGTTTACAATTTTCACAAATTCTTTCTGTTTTGAATTATTAATTAAAAAGTTTTATCTTTGGTCATAACTTAACATTTTCTGTTAATGCTTTTAGTGTTCCATCACTTATAAAATGTTTTTAAGTGAATCATTATTTATTCTTGAAGAGAGTATGTTCTTTTTATGGATTCTTAATTCTTAACTACGAAAGTTTTCATTGTTGTGTAACTTCATTGAGGATTGTCGTAGAGTCATGTGACCAATATAAATTTATTTGCTGGGGTTCCATGATTTGTAATACATTTAATACTTAACGTATTAATTAATTTAAAATTTGTAATTAATTTAAAGAACAAATAACTTATCCAAGATTTATATTTAGAACTATCTATATTGTAAAGAACATAATATATTAAAGTATATTATTAGCCTATTCTCAATTCAGTAAGTAAATAAATAATTAATTTAAATAATATATTAAATTAAGAAATTATTAACAAGATGAAATACAAGAAATTTATTTATGTTTATAGTTTTTTAATGATCGATCTGAATAGAAATAAGGAAATCTAGTTAGATCACATAGATCATAATAGCCGAAGCGTCTAAGCCACACACTCATGAGCCCTTTTTGTTCTTCAACGGAAGTATAAGCCATAAAATATATTTCTTACAATATAATTCATGTAATTGATAGTTAAAACTTTGTGAAAGGTTAATATTAAAAAAAAGCCTCATCTTCCCTCATCTCGATGAAAAAAGAAAACATAGCCACATAAAAATTCATATAAATGTATATTTTGATATGAAAAAAAATACGGAGATATTAAAGTGGAATGGCGAAGCATGTATGGTTAACGAGATATAGGGATTGATTGTTTTTGGTTTTCTTTTATGGGTACAATCATATTTAGCGTTTAAAAAAAAAAAATTATTATTTTAAAAAAGCTGGATCTTTTTTTTTTCGGTTTATTTTCGGTTTTTTTTTTGAAAAAAAAATTTTATTTTCTGGAATTTAATTATCAAAACATTTTACTGTGATATCTCGCATTTAATTTGGTCTAACTAAAGATTCAAATGCGAATATACAAATTAATTAAAATACCGAAATTCTAGACAGGAAATATATATATATTTTTTACAATGGTTTGTGGTCAAAGTGGAATTACTTTCTTAGGAGCGTTATCACTTCTAGTATCAGAGATGATAGGTCCGGGATTAGTTACGAGTGAGTCACATGATTTCATGGTTGAATATTTTCACGCGATAAATGCAACAAAAAACTAAATTATTATTTCTTATAGTCCCAATATTGTTTGAAACGGCAGGATTGATAACGTAAGATAAAGTGATTAAGTGATAAAGTGATAAACAATTAAATTAAATAACTTTATTACTAACACTAGTTATAACATACTTTTTTTTTGTAGACCATTAATAATGTTTAGCGTAGCGGTGATGTTAGCGTGTTCATCAGCACTATTACTTGTAGAAGCATTAAGTTCGATACCAGGCAATGAAAAATTTCAGGTTTGAGATTTTTTGACATGAATCTTTTTTTTTTTAGTAATTTACTTAAATAATTTTTTAATTCCATTTTTTAATTTCTAGAAAAAAATAGAGTATATAAGTTTATTTAGCATATTAATTGATAACAAAATACTAAGAATAATTTCATATTTAATATTATTTTTATCAGTTGAATCAATGATAATTGCAACGATAGCATTAACATCACAAGCATTTGATGCGATATTAGTAAGATTCGTTGGAAGTACTTGTGGAATAGGTTTATATCCTGATAAAGGATGGATTTGTGTACAAAATTTAAATAATTTTAATAGTCCTTTTGGAGATAGATTAATGTTTGTTACGGGTGGTTTCATGGTAAGAAAAAAAAAAGAATTTTTTTATTTTATAAAATTACATAAAGTAATACTATAATACTGATGCAATTTTTTTTTTTCAGATCACTTTTATTCTCGTAATACCAATGGCAATTTGTAATTTAGGAGAAAATGTTAAAATACAAATATTATCATTTATTTCGTTAATAATTGTTATTATTATATGGATAATAGCTTGTATAATGAATGGATTAAGTCCGAATAGAATTCCATTAATTGGTAATGATCATAGTTTATTAGTAGGAACTGTATTATTCAATTACGCTTTTATAATAACTGTTCCAAGTATGGTAAATGACTTGGTATGTATATAATAAAATATAATATTTGTATTTAAATTTATACTTACATTTTTTTTCTCATCTAGAATCAAGATGTATCAATAAGAAAAGTTATTTGGATATCAGTAGGAATAACAACATTAACATATATTCTTATAGGATTATTTGGAGCAATGGCATTTCATTTTGATCTTACTTCAAATTTAATATCTGAAATAAGAAGTTCTAAAATACATAATATATTCACTGATATTGCTACTTTATTATTCCCTTTGGGTGGTTTACTTGCAAGTATACCAGCTGATACGATAGTATTACGATATAATTTGGTTAGATCTGAATTATGTAATTATTGTAAGTAGAGTGGTTTTCGCTTGATTGAAAGAACACGTGTTATTTTTTTATTATTAAATTTTTTTTAACGAATTAAATTTATCCATCCTTTTTTTTTACCATCAATACAGCTATGGCAACGTTTATTTCATTGGTTATACCTTGGTGTGTAGCTTTACCGTTTCAAACAGGATTTTGGTTAAATATATTTACGAATTGGACAAGTTTATTATTTATTAGTATAACAAATTTTTTATTGCCATTTTGTTTATTTCATCTAAGTCAAAAGAAAGCTAAAATGTTACAAACATTAGAATTAGCTAGAGAAGAAGCTGAATCAAATGAAAAACAACAAAATAAAAATATTGATGATAATAAGAATAAGAATAAAGATTATTTTAATCGTGAACCAATAATTTCTTTACCACCACCACCTTCTATAACTCCTGATACTTCAACACTAGAAGGAGAAGGAGAAGAAAAATCAGCATTTCAAAAACATTTAGAAAGACATTTACAAAAACTTGAAAAACAAAAATTAGAAAATCCTCAATTAGAAAGATTAAAACGAGCAAAAGTTTATCGTAATATGTCAGCTGATGCGGTACCAATAGATGAATTACCTGATTTTGTATTAAAAAAGAATACAAAAAAGAATGATAGTTTAAGTACTATAAGTAGTAGTAATAGTAATAATAATGATGATGATAATAATAATAATATTAATGTTCTTAATGTTCTTTCACCTGGTGAAATTTATGAGGTTGATAAAACTTATATACCTTCACATCCTTCTACACCTAGAAGTACTAGTACTGATGATGAAGAATTTTATAGTTTATTTAATTATGTTAAACCTTTTAAAGCTTTTCCTGGTACTAGTAAAAAATTTAGTATGATGATATCTTATTCTGCTGCTAGTATTAGTATATTATTAATTAGTGGTGTTATTATTTATGATTTTATTGGTTTGGCGAATGGAAAAAATTATTTTGATTTGGGTGTTAACAATTAAAAAAGGAATAGAAGAAAGGATAGATTTATTAGCGTATAATATTAGGGATAGATTTTTTTTATATATATAAGTTTATTTAAATTTTTTTTTTATTTTTATTTTTCGAATCAACTATAGAAATTCATTTAATAGTAATAATAAATTTACGCGTGCATGCGAATCAATTGACAACATGAATCGACCAAAACGTTTATGTACTGTATTTTGTGAAAGTTAGTCATCAAAATGTATTTTTTTTATATAAAACTAAAATCGTGGTTCTGCAATATGACACGTGACATATTAGGAAGAGTACAACAACCGGTAATTTGAAAAAAAAATGCTTTGCTTCCTATGCTATGCCATATTTTATAAAAAATTGCTTAAAGAAATATAAAGTTGTAGTAAAAATTAAATTCTAATTTCCGTCAATAAGGGCCGGTTCGTACATTACTAAAGAAAAAAAATATTGTTGCCTGTTATGAATTAGTATTTTATAAACTTAGTAATTCGACTTGACTGATTAGTTAAAAGAATTATGATTAAGATGTTGTTGAAATAACATAAATAATATAAATATGTCTAATACCTTAGTATTTTTTTCGATAATTTTTTTTTTTTCGATTAAATAATCTTCGATAAGTGACTCTTCAGTATTTTAATAACAGGATTTACGAGATAAAATATTTTTAATAAAATTATTAATTTATTTTAATAAACAGGATAATATTTTTTTTGAACTAAAAAAATCCAGTTTTTAGAAAGAATAATTATATTCGTACTATATAAACAAAAGTGAATAAAACTTTGCAATTTCCAAAATTTTAAGGCGAAATTCATCGATGAGTATTGGAGGGACTTCGAGGCCTTTTGTGAAGATTCACTTTGAGCTGATTGTTTTCGATTAAGTATCTAATGATTCGCCACACTTGGTGATTAGGAATTTTTAAGATTCGGTCCGAAGTGATCGCGTTGTCATGATTCATTATGAAAACGCAAGATATGGTATGTCATTCATTTGCAGTTGATCTAAATAAAGACAGAGTTTGAAAACCGTACTATTGAACCAAAAAATATGAATGATTTGGTTGGCATGGTAACAGAACATTTTGCTTAGTCTGAAATATATAAAGATGCCCTTCAGAAAAACAAAAGGGTCGCAGCATCTCAGCGATGCATGCACAACTGTTAGTTTTCATCAAGGTTTGCACCAAGTTACAGTCACTAATTTTTGTTATTCATGCAGCAAACCCTTGCACTTAAAAATTTGTAATCATCTGGAAATTCCTAGAAACAAAGAAGGACGTTCACAGTAGCTGTCCCCCATATGCTAAGACAACAAACTGTGGCCACGATGTGCTTCCAGTTCTCTGAATCTATGAATGACCTCAATAAAAACAAATAATTGGCATGAAAAAGATGTCAAAAAGACTGTTAAAAAGGTTGTGTTCCTCATTAACAGGTGATTTTAAAATATATTGAAAAGATCGTGTTCCTCCTCAATAGGAGATTTTAAAATTCACCATCTAGATCATACTCTATCAAGTACATGCTAAGCCCTGATAAGAAGCACTTGGATATTTCCTTTCAAACCCTCACAACATTTTAATGATAAAATAATACCTTAATATTTTGCATCTGCTAATATATCTTTGAAGTCTTTCTGTTGCGAAGAAATGATATCTAAAAAGAAAAGTAATAAACTAACTATCATCAGAACATTTTTTTTTCGTCAACTTACCACAATTAAAATGGAACATTTGAACACTTAATCTTCATTATTGGGCAAAAATAAATGAAATATTTTTGTAAAAAAAAGAATTATGAATTATTTTTGTTGTAAGTAGAAAAGCAACCAGGTAGAAAAGTAACAAGATGAGGGAAAGTTAGGAAAGGTAAAGGTATTTATATAGTTTTTTTTTTGAGATATATTTACATAATATGTGAGTAATGCTTTTTCACATAAATTACGTGATACGCCAATGAAATTGATTAGTCTTGACTCCATTGATTCATGAGTCATGATAACAACTCTGATATTTCTTATAGTGCCTTGCGTAAATATAGTGCCTTGTGCAAATATAATACTTTCCGCAAATATAGTAACTCGCAAAAATATAGTAACTCGCGAAAATAGTGACTCGCGAAGTCTAAAATAAAAAATAATAAAAAAATAATAAAAAAAATATTTTTATATTTCAAAACGAAGTTACATTGCCTTCAAGAGTCTATTTAAAAATCTTACTCTATTTTTTTATCGATCATGGTCATCCGATTTTTCTCACGATTCGAAAGTAATACATTATTAATAGACTCGTATTATTTTGATAACTCTAACGTCATTTTGACTATTTTATAGAAATACAGTTTGTTAAAGTGGTAAAGATGAAGAGTCATGTCAAGAATCAAGAAAAACGATGAACGTAGTCAGTTACCATCAGTTACACATGCCGGGTTGTGATTTCGGATAGTAGTCTCATTTAATCAATTACGCCAGATTAGATTAAATAATCTATTTTCCGCTTTCTATTCACTATAAACTAGTGCCTCGACCCGTATCCGGATCAATCCGGATTGATCCGGATTTTTTTTTTTTTCGGATATCCGGATTTTCACGGTTTTCATCCGGATTATAAACCGGATGAAAAATATCCGGTTTGACCCGGAATCCGGATGAAATTTTTATTATTTTTTTTTTTATTAATAATAATTTTGCTGATCCATAAAGATCTATATCTAAATGATATTATGGCTAATTATTTTTGCGCCTAATACCAATTTTTTTATTAAAATTTATTAAATTTATATTTGTTATTAAACTTTTTAATACAGTAAGTTTAAGAAGATTTTTCAATTATAATTTATTTATTGAAGTTTGTATCAGATTTGTTTATTTAAATTTATACATTAACAAATAACAAATAATTTTAGATTTCACATTCAAACGTTCAAAAGAAAAAAAACTTTATATTATTTTTGTTACAACAAAATAATAATTATTGTTTTAAAATGAAAAATTGTTCAATATTATAAATTTACTATATAATTATAACAACTTTTTTAAAAAATTAAAACTAATGTTATGTAATTTGATTCAAATGATTCTTTAATTTTTGAAAGAAGAAACAAATCCTTAAAAAATTACCTTACTAACCCAACACATCTATTTATAGTAATCTTTAGCTGTATATAAAAATATCTTGTTTAAAATTTCATAATTAGTTAATTTACAAAGAAATGTTAAACAATAGTCTGAGACAATGCTGAAATAATATGAAATTGTTTTAAAGAAAAGTATTTAATGAAATTGGAATTATGTAAATTTCGTGGTCTTGGATAATTTTGGCCAAATTTGTAATTCTGGCCGAAATTAACATCACGTGACACCGGAAAAATAGTTTAGCCACCGGGCAAAAAATTTTTTATCGGCTGGCATGAAAATTTAATGTTACACAATTTGTAATTCTGGCCGGCGTTATGAATTCTGGCCAGAATTATTGCCGATCATTTGTAAATCCAATCCGGTTTCCGGTTTCTATCCGGATTATCTGATCCGGATTCAAAATCCGGGTCAATCCGGATATAATCCGGATTTTTTTTTTGTGTAATCCGGATGACGGTTTTCATCCGGGTCGAAGCACTACTATAAACTCATATTTAAAAAGAAGAGAAAACGAGTAAACGATATCATAGTTAGAATACGATGTATCGAGAATAATTGTATAACCGCCAAATCACTTTTCAGTGTTCGTACGTATTAAAATGTCTTAATTATTTCATATATCAAAATTTTACTGAAACTTGAAACTAACAAAAAAAATTCTCATGAATTCCTAGGGACTTTCCACAGATCTTGCCGTAAATAATACCCATGATCTTTTCGATAACAATATTTTTTGTTGCTGCGGCTTGAATACAATGGTTATAGTTACATACCTTACATACAATACGTACTATACTTATGTATATTTACACCGCTTAAGTATTAATCTTGACCTGTATGACGGTTGAGACTTAGTATACATGTTAAAATTCTGTATCAAATTTTATTATTTTCTTATCTTTTTTTATACATAAAAAATATATATATACACTACAAAAAAAAATATGATGAGCTTTTTTTGTAATAGAATTCAAGTAGTAAGTATTACTTAGTGAAGTGAAGCTATTATGCAAAGTAATACAAAGTAACGTTTTAATTTGGTCGGCCATTTTGTCTTTGTCTTTCATTTCTTGTTTACTTGTGTGTTCATTATGATAATCTTATTTATTCTTTTAAAAATGCAAGGTTTTTTTGATCTTCTTTATCCAAATTTTTAATTAACAATTTTTTTTTCTTTAATTGGTTTAAAAGATTTTGATTCCAATGGCTTCTTCAAAAATGGCGCATTTTTTTTCCGATAATTTTAATCTAAAATAATTATTAGATAAAACAATAAGACCAATTAGACCATTGTATTGAGGTAGAAGTCCGATAAACCCCAAATTACCCATTAATAGGTAATTTTACTTAACAGAATTAGAACTAAGCCTTTAATTATTATCATTTAATTAGTTAAAATAAATTTTATTATCGTATGTAAAAGACACCTTATTCTAGTGATTGGAATCGATTCTCAAAATGAGAACCGATTTATTTAAGAATCGATTGATCGCGTTTAATCGAATCTCGAGATTCGATAATTCGATTCTAAGATCCGATTTTCGATTTCGATTAAATCGATGCTAATCGATATGCGTCATAAAAAAAAAATCGATCATCATTCTGTGCCGCAACAATTTAATGGGCGAAAAATCCATTTTTTTTTTACAGTAATTTTGCTTGGGCGTTGCTAAATCTAACCGCTGGCGCTTAATTTCGGCCGGAATTATAATTTGGCCAGGGTTAATTGTGTAACCTAATAAAAAAGTTTAATGGTAAGTTGGTATACTTAATTGATGGATATTTGACCACTTTTAGGGTCATTTAGACCACTGTTAAACCATCAACTAAGTAGTTGATGGTAACATTTGACCACTTTTAGGTCATTTAGACCACTTTTAACCATTAAGTCAAATAGTTTTTAATTGAGTTCTAAATGGTTGTTCTTTTCATTGGCACGTGGTTTCTTGTTTTTTTTTTGGAAAGGCGTTTATGTTTCTGCTTCTAAATATAAAATCTTCAATAACCCAAAACTGCGTGTGTTGCGTATGTTCATTTTATCAAACTTTTTGTTTCATTTACCAAAGAAGTCATCATTATTATGGTTTGCCGCTGTATAACAATCATACACTTCGCTAGCTTATATAAAACACTATGGTAATAGACTTCTCGATATTTTCCGCGAAATGCTTCAAACGGAAATCGATACAATATTTATTGTATGTAAAATCGTATCGTGACCTGTATATATTGATAAATAAAATAATTTTTATGTTAAATTTGTGGTCATAGAATTAAACGTTAATATTATTATGCTTTAGTTACTATATAATCAAAGCCTACCCTACCATTATATACTTTGCAAGTTGAAATTCATATACTAAATACACTACCCAGACAAAAGTAGCGGACCTTACATTTTTTTCAATTACTCAAAACTGTACATATTAATAATACTTGAATTTTTTATATATGATAACATAAATTCTGAAGAATATATACTTTAAATTTCACGCTTCTAGCTTTTATACAACTATAATAATTAAAAAAAGAAGTTTGGTGACTGTTACATTACTTAGACAAATGTAATGGACCCTTTATTTTCATTAATTACTTAAAATTACATATAATAACAATACTTGAAATTTTAACATGTAATAATATAGAATTTAAAGAACATAGGGTCAAATTTTCATGTTTTTAACATTTATACAGCTGTATTAATTCAAAAAAATTTAAAAATTTCTGATGATCGATAAATTAAAAAAAAATAAAAATTATGAATAACATTTTATTTTTTAGATAATTGTTAATTTGAAAGATAAAAATACAAAAATTCATATGATATTTATTCTCCTAAACTGAGCTTTCAAACAATATAAAAATTTAAGTATTTTATTATGTGCAATTCTAAATAAACTGGCAGTAACAGACTCTTAATTTACTATTATATAACATATATATGATAGGTGTTAATATTTCCTTTTAAATTATCTTTAATTAATATGGTTGTATAAAGGCTAGAACTATGAAATTTTGAACGTATGTTTCTTAATATCTATGTCATCACATATTAAAATTTCAAGTATTATTATTATGTACAATTTTGAGTAATTGATAAAAATAGGAGGTCCGCTACTTTTGTCTGGGTAGTGTACATTTCTAGGTAAAGAAAAAATATTGAGACTTTTTTTCTTCAGATAATACTTCGATTTTTAGTTAATTCGAATTTAATTTTGAAAGTTATATAATTAGTGAAAATTAGCAGCTACTTCGGTAGGATCTGCTGTAAAGGTGCTCGTGATTAAAAAGAAGTTAAAATTTACCCTTTTTCCATAACAAGTATAATTATAACGTATGTAAAATTATAAAGAAAGCAAAAGAGCCGCCGTTATGTCTATTGAACCTTCTAAAATATAAGCATCCACTCGACCTCTGCAAAATATACCTGCAATCAACGGAAATGAATGAGTAGCGAAAAACACTAACCCATGAATTATAGATTTATTGTGAAACTATAAATAGTAAAAACTAAAGCTTTGAAAGTGTGAAAGATAGATTATTGATCATCTTATTCATCATTACAATTCCCTGATACCATTTTTAATGTTGAAAGGAAATTATATACTAACCTTCTATTATGAAGCGATATTATATGTTTCGTATATAAGAGAGATAAAAACCTGTATAAATATAAATAATTCATTCTGGTCTAAAATAGACATCCGGTTAATTATTATTTATATCTTACTGTATATATATTACATACTAACGCTAGCACCTCTGTTACATGAAGTGTTATACAGAACCAATTATGGTTGTTTATTTCAATTTTATTTTATTATTTTCATTATAGATCTCAACTTTGGTATTTAATCGCCATCACTCGTGTTCAAACTATTTATTGATTTAGTTAATATTACATTTTCTTTGAATGCTTCTCCGGAAGAATTTTTTAGAGTTCCGGTGTTGTTAAGAATTTTTCTTTTGAAACTGCGTGGTATTTTATGAGTGATCATTTTTTTTATTGATCTAAGCGGGCTACAACTATTGTGCATTAAGGTAACTATAATTTGTAAGTTCCTATAAAAAATGTTGATCCGTGTTTTATATTTCCATGTTTTTTTCCGTGAATGTATCATTTTCACGGAATTTTCATGAAAGCCACGGGGAAATAATGGAAATATTCGGATAAAAATTTTTTATAGGGAACTTGTTGCAAGTATACTATTCCAGAAATTATTAAAAAAATAATATATATTTTTTCAATGATGGTCTTGTGATGAACAATAAAATATGCAGTAAGTTGTATGTAAAAAATCAAATACATAAAAGTAATATGTCACCTTAAAATAGTGTCACGTTTTAGTCTTAATTGCAGATCATCCCAATATTCGGCCGAATCGCAAATTGATCTGATCAGATGATATTCGAAGGGTCCATTGTTATTTGATACGAAGCGTGAAGACATGAAAATCATGTAAATAACATCACTCTTTACTGCATAACATACAATATGTAGTAAATCACCCCTTACCAACAACCATAAAGAAAAGAAAATGTGTTACGCTTAGAAGTTTTAGCTGTGATTCGATAGATACGGTTGTATTTATCTTTGAAATCTGTGCAATATGTTAAGACGTTGTACTATTTATTGTATTTATAATAATAATACATTCGTAACTCTAATTCACTACCGAATTCGCAGAAGATTTAAATATTTCGCTATTGATCCCATTTTTCTAAAAGTCGAAGAACTATGTATTTTAACTTGTTAATAATATCAATATTAAAATTATATTAATTATTGTCTATTTACCGCACTAACGTTAAATTATAACAAGATACTCCAATTAATATCACATGAGTTAATTTAAAAACACAATTTATTTATTTTATATCTTATTGTACATTTCCTTATTTTTATATTAAATAAAGTCTTGAATAACATATCATAAATATTAACTTGTGGTGCTTAAATAGTTTCATATCTAAAAGGTTTTTTTTCTTAAAAAATATGGATTTTGTTACTTAAATTTAAATAATAAATAACAATCGATCTAAAATAATATAAGTGAACAATTCAAATAATAAATTATAAAACTTATTCGACCGCAGTCTTTGTTTTTCTTCGATCGTAAAAAACTAAAAATTTTAGAATATTTTTCATCATAGGAAAGAAGTTTATGAAAGAAGAAAGTAAAGGAACCCAGATAAAAATTAAAAAAGATTAAGACGAGCTATGAGTGCTTGTTAACCAAATTTACATATTACCGGAGAACAAAAAGTCAATGACTATAACGTAATTGAGCGTAAGTGGATTCTGAGAAATTCCCAAAATTTCAGTAAGATTTTTTTCGTCGTTGTATTCAATTTCAGTTGCAATCTATAAATAAAATTAAATTAATATATGATAAATAAACTCAAGGAAATATATATATATATATATATTTATTTATTTATATATTTACCAGCTTTAACTCATCTTGTGTCATTTTGTTTGAATTAATTAGTTCCTTTAAATAAACTTTTGTATCTTTGATTTTATTAGGAAAGCTCCTCAACTTTGCAGAATAATTCAAATAACCATCTTCGTTTATATACATTATGTCCTTAAAATTTTTATAAGGTATCCATGGAATTTTTATAAATTTTCGTTGTTTGTCAACTTCCAAGGATAATTTATCGAAAAGGTCAGATTGGAAGGGAGTAGTAGAGAAGTTTTTATTTAATTTTAATGCAAGGTCCTCAACATTTTTTAGTTTTGATTTAAGGTCTTGGTTTTTATTTTTGCTGTTATCGTTTCCCATTATTGAACAAAATTTTTTTTTAATTTTTTCTTTTTTTTTAAAAAAATTATGGACTTTTTGTAGAGGTTTCATTTCTTATCCATCAAACTATTATTTATATGATAAGCCCTTAGATTTTTAGCAAAGAAAATTTTATAAAAATATTTATATTTAGTTATTACATAAAATAACTAAATTTATAAATAGTAAACAGAATTTTACATACTATATACGTACGTATACAAGATCCTTTAGATCCTTATAGTTTCACAGTTTCATGATGTTTTGCTGTTATTAGATAATAAAAATAAAATAAAACGTTAAAAAAAAAAATAAATAAAAAATTATTATTATATATTTTTTTTTAGTGATAAAAGATTGGTGTAATATTACTAATATTACTGCGCCAACAATTGAATTCATACTGTTACTACAGATAATAAATAATCATTATTTTATTATTTTTTTAGTATCTCTTTATCTATAATATTGACAATCAACTACATTTTTGTATTGTTTACTAGTACTTAAACTTTGTGTTTCAACATATTTTATAACGTGTTTAACATGTTTATATTTGTCCATTTGTATTGATTATATAACTACTATAATTTAACAAGATGTACAACAGGTTCCTACTATTAAATCTTGGTCCTTTAATTCTGGTTTTTTTAGGAAGTTCAAAGAAAAAGGAAGAAAAAAGGAAGAGAAATTTTCTATACAAGGTATCAACATTTTAAGGGGTAAAAAAAAAAAAAAAATTTTTTTTTTTTTTTTTCATATTATATTCCAAAAATATATATATATACAAATGAAAGACAATACGATAAATATAAAACGTGCACTGCACTATTTTTTTATTTCGGTTAAATTAAATTACTTTACCGGGATAACATCGTTTGATTGACAATAACTTTACGTTGTATTTAAGACTTACATCACATATATATATATATATATTTATTTATTTTACTGTTTATTTGGTGTGTAACAATTGCAATGTTATGTTTCAAATTTTAAGGCGTTTTGTTACATTACGAACGAAAATGCCCTAGTTGCAAAAAAATCATATCCATTTTTTGAACGCAATTGATTCCAAAAATGGTTTGATATTTCCTCATACAATATGTTACGCAAGTAAATCATATATAAAATTAGGATCAACAAAAAATTCTGAAAGAAATGAACGAAACTTGACATAATTTACAGTGACTCCTAAAATTGTATAATGTACGATATAGACATACAGTACGAACTTTCATCTTCGCTGTAAGTTTACTTAAGCGTCTCAAGGAAGTTTTTATGGTTTTATATGACGTTTCTTTATATAGTTTTATATAGTTTCAATGAAATAGTGGTGATCTACATAACAATGCGGAGTTCTGGAACTGTATTAATTGTGCGCCACCCGACCACATGGATCAAATGGAGGTAACGAACGTCTGTGGAGTAACGTATGTTATGTCACACAGTATCTGTTTATTGTTTGATAAAAAAATCTAGTACAGCAATTTTAACGCGCAGTCCTGGTACTATAATATTTTGTTTCGTGATCTTATCACGTGATAAACCAGGATTATCTGCGAAATTATATAAATGTATTAAAAAATCGATTTAGTGCAGTATAATAAATTTTGGGATTTTTAAATACTTATACTTTTTACGATATGTTACCTGATAAGTAAAGTAGTACAATAGTATGATGATACAAGTTCGGAGAAATTTTAATAGTACGTTAATTTTTTGTACAATTTAAAAATTTCGTACTAACGTATTTTTAAAATATGAATTTATTTAGCTCTACAATAGCAATAAAATCATCTTTGGCATTTGTAAAATAAAAGTATATCTAGCGTAAGAATATTATAAACCCAAGTTTAAGAACTTAAATAGGTTAAGCGTTATAAAAAAGCAGAAGAATTTATAATAAAAAAAATTTAAAAGGAAGAAGGCGTGTACTGAGCACCAATGAACCTTCCAAGAATACTGCGATTTTCCTGTATATTCCACGATTCGATAAACTGTATAACATTAGAAGATCAATACAAATGAGTTAGTAAATTATTTTTAATTTTTAGATTTTATTAGTATACAGACCGGAAGATGATTGACTGTTGATGGAAATCATTGTGGAATGATTCCATTCATGCTTGGAATATATTCTAATATCATGTTCTGATCAAACAAATGTGAATTACGTAATCTTGAAATATTTCATGTATCCTAAAATATAAATCAAAATATTATTGGTTTATAAATAATATACTTAGTCGAATATTATAGATAAGTGTCAATGTATCAATTTCATTATTTAACATGTATGACTTTATTAGAAAAAACTTAGATAATGAAAAAGAAATAATTTAAAGCAAAAAAAAATAAAAAATATTAATATTATTGCTAGGCAAATTTCTTACATAATAATAATTAAATATACTATTTCTAATTCTATTTATTTATTTTCTTCTTATAATGATAACGAAATATATAACAATACAAATCTTTATACAATAAAACCGTTGGAACTCCTTATTGTAAAAAAATATTTTATACGATTTTTTTTTTTTACTGATTTGTATTTATCTGTTATTTTATTTATTCTTTAGATATATCTTTAAATTTTCCTTTGATAATTAAGTTAACATCATTATATTTGAAGTTTGGATTAAAAAAATTGTCATGCTTAGATCACCTAATTTGACTTGTGTACCATTGAAAAGTGTAATATTCCCGCGCCAGATCTATTTCGTATTTGTTATAGTTAAAGAATTTGATTAGCCTTAACTGTTAAGAATGTACACATGGTTGCGGTATGTTTCCGATTTTAACCAGTTTTTTTTTATTCTATCACAAAAAAAGTATAGTTTGTTCTATTAATTGTATTTCGCTTGTGATTATTTTCTTTTTTAGTCTTTTTATTGAATGTTTTATTATTAATTTTTTTATCTGATTTTTTTTTTCCTTTTCGGTTATCTTTAACAGAAAATTATTTTTTTTATTTATCATTTTTTTTTCAGTTTTTTAAACCGTTTTTTTTTTAGTATTTTTTTTTTTTTAACCTGAAAAATATTGGATACTTTGTTGCCACAACTTTTCAATTTTTTTGTTTAGTGAGATTTTTTTTTTTCTTAGTCAATGATATTGTTTCCTGACTATTAAGATCACACGAGAATTTTTTTTTTTAACGTTTTTAGTGAATTTTTTTTAGTAAAATTTTGTTTTTAACATTAATATAAAGCGTCATGAATTGGGAATTTTAAATAATAAAACTCTAATATTATATAATATCTAATATTCCCAATAACCCAAATATGAATCAGAAACTTTATCATTATATTGATTTAAACTCATTTTGCAACACAACAGGCTACAGCTAGTTTATAACTAAAGGAATTAAAAGAAAATGACTATTTATGTAAAAACATAACCTTCCTCAGGGGATCGTCTCACTTGTAAAAAAAACCAAAAAAAGAAAAAAGAAAGATTTACAGATTTAACCTGTCTTATAAATAGGAGTCAAAAGGAAAAATATGATCTAGTCTGTAAAACAATTAAAAATAAAATATTATCAGAAAAGAAAAAATTATAATTATTACATAAAGAATAAGGGGCTTATATAAAAGTCGCCCATCCTCCAGGCTCCAGCAAATACAAAATTAAAAGAGATCAATATAAGCCATCGATGGCAGTTTAAGTATTTAAAATTTTTGTAAGAGATAAATGGCTTGGTATGAGTGTTACGCGTCTGTTTAAATGGATCATTAGTCAAATGTGAAGTAGTGTGGAACGACTCACCGAAAAATGTTAGTAGCCAGATTTATTTGCTAGTTACACATGTCGCTTACATAAGATAATCACTTGTAAAATTAAACGATTGAACTTTATTACAAATAGAAATTTAATGATTTTTTTTAAGTTATAGTTTGAATAATATACTGCGATGTGCAATATTTTAACTTTATGTTCTTTATGTTTCGAATATAATTATTCTCAATAAATTGTATTCTTATTAAAGTTCTTGGCATAGTTTGACGATTTTTGCACTATATTATCTTTTCATTTTCTCTAATGACTTGAAATTTGAATGAACATTTTTTAACCATAAATATCTTTTTGGCTTATTAAGTGACTCTTTTATATGAGTTTATAAAAAATTTATAACGAAGAAAAAAGAAAAAATATATATTTGATTTTAAGTCGATAATCTGAATAAATCCGGCCACCATTTTTCAATGGCGTGGATGTAATTCACGTGTTGTGGCAAGTGGTAGCGAATGCATTTTTGTGTCTTTTAGTGATGTTCTTGGTGTTCTCCCATCGTTTAAATTTATCATTGTGAATTTCCAGAAGAGCTCGCTCAAAAAAAAAAGTCATGAAGAACAGTAATCTCATGCTAATCACGTGAGTAATGAAATTTAAGATTTGTTTGTATATTTCAATAATTTTCATTTTCGTTACTAAATAATATTCTTCTTTACTGGTTTCATTTTTTTATATAGTCTGACGGTTCTTTTCGGGTTTTCTTTTTCTTTAGGTTTTGCGATTCTTTTTGAAAATGAAGGTTAGTGTTTTTTTTTCTTCGTTGTTTATTTTCATTTCATTATTAATTTTTGTTTGATTTTTCTTATTTCTAGGTTTCAACACTTTTTATTTTTAGGGTTTAGCAGTTCTCTTTGTGGGAATAAAGTTGGTATTCAACCGTTTTTTATTTCGTTGTTTATCCTTTTTTAAGTTTCGGCTATTCTCCCTGGAAATAAAGATTTGTATTTCATTTCAACTAATTTAGTTTGTGGAAATAAAGGTTGGTGTTCGACCATTGTTTCCCTTTTTTTTTATTGTTTTCTTTACTAACTTTCATCTTTCTTTTTTAGGTCTTCAGCTCTTCTTTTTTTTTTTAGCAGTTTTCTCTTTTTTATGTTTTGGATGTTCTTTTTGGATATTTTCTTTTTGTTTTCATTAACTAAATTTGTTAAAATTTGTTTATTCTTTCCATTAGGTGCTGTATATTATTTCAAAATGTAGGTTGGTTTTTTTTGTATTTTTTTTTTCTTTACTAACTTGCATTTCTTTCTTTTTTTTTTAGGTTCCAGATGTCAATTTTCAAAGAATCAGTAATTAGTTTATTTTGTATTATTGATTTTATCATGTTCATTTATTTGGCTATTTTTGTTTTTGAAAAAGTAAATTTTTTTTGCTGATTGTCATTGATCAAATAAATCTGTCAAAGATTCTGTGAATAATATAATTATGACCTTATGTGACGCTAACGGGTTGTGTATCGAGAAAAATAATTACAGAGAATATAAAAGGACGCATATAATAATCTAACATAAAAGACTAGACAAGTTTATATGTTTCAATCTACCTTAAGGCAAACCTACCCTTCGCATATAGAGAAAACTAAATTTAAAAAAAAATGATAAAAAAACTGGTGGTCCACGATAAATCTTATTTGTAAAATCACGTGATATGGTGGCAAAAAAAAAAATGATACCACCCCAAATGAAAATTTTTATAGGAAAAGTTTAAATAAGCCTATAAAGTAGATTATGCGTGGTCATTTTCACAATCAATGAAGGTCCCTGTGGCCGATATAAATCCAATAAATATTATATATATGTTGTTTATTTAGTTGAAAAATAATTTAAAAATAAAAACCACTAACCATGTTTATATTGATTTTTAAATCTATTAATTATACATTGACAAATTAAATATTGATCAATATAAAATAAATTGATCGAGGAATGCTATTTATTTGTCAAATTTGTTACATATAAATTATATTTGCTAATAATTTATAATCTTACTAAAGCGATTATGTGCATAATCAAGTAACCGTACCGTACCGTATTGTCATATATATACATTTTTATATATTATGGAGTATACATGTTGCCGAAATAATTTTTTAATTTCGGACCAATTTCGGCTTTGTGGCATAACTCCACACTGTATAAACGTAATAATCTGAAATTTGTCAGAAGATTTCGCTGGATTTCAGAGAGTGTAGAGAAGTTTTTAAATAATTTCGACCTTATTGGCAACAATTTCAGCCAGGTTTGTGTATATTTTGGATATATAAAGTTAATTAATGGAACGAATGAAATTAGTTGTTTATAATTCTGGGTTATCATCCAGGGGATGATAACCCATTTATGGATAGCATAGTAAATAACTAAATTATTTAAATATTTTCATTTTCAACAGATATCAATAGATCTTGTGTTAGTTGAACTCTGTGATAAAATTATTCCACTACTTTCCTTATATATATGAAATTTGTAAAGGGAATTGATCTCGTTAAAGAATATTTCTTACTATCTATTAAAAAGACATAAACTTCAATTAGTTTAGAAGTTGTAACAATATAAATATTTCCTTTTTGGTGATAATTTATATACTTAATAATTCCAATTTATTATATAATTATTTAAATTACAAACTAAGAATCTTGTAAAACAATTTTTTTTTACTACTCTAGTCTTAATGTTTAAATAATTCAAAATAAAACATAAATATATGATAAAATCTTTCGAAATACAATAATGATATCGTTAACTTATTTCCAAAGGAAAATTTAAAATCCATCTAAAGAATAGATAAATAACAATAAATACTAATTAGTAAAAAATAAAAAAAAAGTAATAGCAAATCTCTTTTTTAAAGCTTACCAACGGGAATTTCCAGTTCATCTTGTTCTTCTGAATGAAGGTTTGGATTATTATACATTTCATCATCATCTGTAAGAAATAAATAAATAGAATTAAATAAATATAAAATTGAAATCGTTGCAAAATTTTCCGCCTACCATCAATATCATTAATATTTTGTCTTTTCGTTTTTTGTTGAATCACTTCTTTTTCATCATCTAAATTTTGAAAAAAAAAGCCATATTAAATAAATATATTGACAAAACTAGTAATTCATTTTTTTTTTTATTTTTTCGCTTACCATCACTATCAATATTTTTCCTTTTCATTTGTTGTTTAATTATTTCTTTTTCGTCATAGTAATTTTAAAATAAAAGTCACGTTATTTAATAAATGAAATTAATATAATGAATTCATTCATTTACTTACTATTTGAATTTATTTGCAAATTTATAAATTCTTTGGGCAATTTTTCACTATCACCTAAATTAAAAGTGTAAAATAGATTTTATTTTAATTTATTATTTCGAATAAACCACTTTTTAGTAACAAAAATAAGAATAATTGAATAATATAAAAATGATCATTAAAATGTATATACAGTATTTAGCAGTTTTACTTACTAATAACATATGGTCCTTTTGTTTGTTGTACTATTTCTTGATTATATTAAATTAAAAATAAATTATGTTTAATGAATAATGAATATTTGCATTAATAAATAAGCTTATTTATTTACTTACCGTCTTTTATTGGTAACTTTTCAAATGTTTTGGATAAATTTTTACTATTTGCTAAAATTTGAAAATACATGTTATTATTTACCTAATTGTCATTAAAAATTATCAGAATATAAGTTACCATTAAATATACTGTGTAATTTTGATGTATTATTATTACTCTGATTTCTTGGTTTATTAAAATCATTAACTAAAGAAAATTGTAAAAATTAATAATTGAATATATAGCTATATAATAAATTCCACAACTTAAAAAATACTTACTATTAGCGGGAATACTAAAATCATATGATTTACTATGAAATGCTATTTAAAGTGAAATATTTTAGTTAAAAAAAGTCAAAATGATAAGAGTACAAATAATCTGAAAAAATAAAAAAGATTTTATATATTAAATTTGTACCTTCTAGCTCCTCTTTTTATTTTAGTATGAACAATGAGATTTTATTATTATTACTTATTTATTTAAAATAATAAAAGCAATATGTATTAAATATAATACCTTCTGTTGCATTTCTTGGTTCAGGCAGATTTTCAAATTGATGAATTTTACTTGCAAATAATCTGCTATTTGTACTATTATTTGTTTTATCTTGTTCTAAATTCCTATTTATTTCTGATTGAAATGATTCATCTGTCATACTTTGATAATATAAATTCATTTTTTGTATTTCATTACAAAGTGTATCAGTATCAGGTCTTTTTGATGGATCAGCATCCCAACATTGTTCCATAAAATTTTTATATTCTGTGGGAGTTCCTAACACAATTTTAGGTCTAATACCATTAATAATATTCATTACAAGATCATAATCATGTTCATGATTAATAAATGGTGGTTGTCCAGATGAAATTTCCCACATAAGTATTGCAATACTATAAATATCAGATTTAAAAGTATATTCTTTTCCATTAATAACTTCTGGTGCTATGTAAGGAAGATTTCCATATATACATTTTGATGATTTATCAGCAGGTCCACAAAATCCAAGATCGCTAATATAACATCCGCTATTAATTTGTGAATACAATATATTTCCCGAATGTAAATCTCTATGAACTGCATTTTCCTTATGAATAAAATGTAGGGCCAAAATTATTTCAAAAGTAATATTTATTTTTTCTTTCCATGTAAGTTTATTATGATTCTGATCTAAATATTCTCTTAAATTTACATCCATTATTTCCATTACAAGCATGTAATTTCCATTTGATATGTTTTGTGTTATACCATAACATTGGACAATTTCATTACTCCTATTACCTATGGTTAAATGTGATTTAGCCTATATAAATTTAAAGACTTGTTAATAATATAAACTAGTTACAGTAATTATAAATATATTATTTAGATTACAGACCTCTTCAAACCAACTTTGATTTGCACTTTCAACATTTTCTAATCTTTTAAGTATCACTTCATGTTTTCCAAATCTTTTTAATTGTTGTTTTTCAGAATCCCATTCTTCACATCTTCCATCAATCCAATCTGCTGTATAAATTTCAGAAAAACCACCTTTTGTTAGATACTTAATATCTTGTAAATTATTATATGGAATCCATTCAACTATCTTACTTGGTATAAGTGTTTCCAATTGACATTTCTGGATTAAGTTATCAATATTAACATTTCCAGATGTCCAATTTGAAAATTTTGCTTTTAAATAATTTCGAACACAAAATTCACAGTATAACGTAGCTAAACATTCTTGTTTACAATTTTCACAAATTCTTTTTGTTCCTGAATTATCAAGAATTTTATAATAATCATAATCTCTAGTCATCCAATTTATTGCATAAGTTTTTTCATCTTCAGTAAGAGAATTCTCAGCAAGAACTGTTTGTTTTTGAAATTCATGCTGTTTGTGATTATCATTGTGAACATTATAATCTATTAATGCAAGTGATCTAGCAATTGCTGCATGAGCTAAGTCTATTCGAATAACAGACATTGAATTTTTTTAAATTAAACTTTAAAAGGAAGGGGTTTTTTATAAATTAAAGTTAAAAAAAAATTATGGTAAGAAAAAAAAAATAGGCTGAACGGAGTTTTGTATCCGAAATAATTAGTAATGATCTACAGTCTTATAATGTAGTACACTTACATGGCATCGCACAAAAATGTTTCTACACACGTCATAGTCGTCACACATGCTTATCTCAAATCTGTGACAGTTTAGTGTCGATCTTGCTATAATAGGAAGGGGTGATGTTTACGCGTCACTGATCACGTGCAGCCACGAGTTCGGGACTTAATTTTTTTAATTTTTTTAGTGCCAAAAATTTATTTGTCACCGTTCTTTGTCACCGTTCTTTGTCACCGTGATCGACACTAACCTGTCACAGATTTTAGATGTGCTCACACATACAGTATTATGAAATAAAAATTTTCATATCAGATATTATTTATCTACGTTTATAATAATAATTTCATGGCTAAAAGCGAAACAAGTAATCTAATACTAACCTAATCATTAAGAACAATGAATATTTAATAATTTTTTTCAAATAAAAAAAAAAGACGAGAATTTTAATATGGTTTGTGTCAATAAGACTAAGTAAAAGAAACTGGTATAAATCATTAATATTTCGTAATGACACCGTACATCCTCATTTGGACGTTTGATTTGAATATGTATTAATGTAAAGTTATTTAAAGTTTGAAACGTAAAAGTTTAATCAATAAGATTTGAATTGTAAAATTTTGGTTAAATTGAAATGTGAACTTTCTTAAGTTTGAATATTAGGTATAATGTGAAGTTTGTTAGGTTCGAATGTAAAGTCTTTTTTGACTTTATTAAAGGTCGTAAGCGTCTGTCGTCTATGATAGTTTACTATGTAAAATTTATTAGATACAAAGTTTATTATCACCGTTATAACCAATCTATATAGTATTACAACGTAGTTATATCCTTACTTCGTATTTATCTTCCTGACAAAGAGAAAATTAAAAAAGAAGTCCTATAAAATGCCATTTGGATTGATAAAATTCATTGATTGATTTAAAAATTTGATTTTCGTTGATTATTTTTAAGCACGCAAATACGTTTATAATTGACGTATCAAGATATTTACTTATTACACTATAACTAGACGGACTGGTAGCTTTAGTACCTTAAATAATTGTATATTGATTGTTCATTATTATTTTTGATTTCTAACAATAAGATTTACGAGAAACTCCAAAATGACGAAATCGGGTATCCGTAGATAAAGATCGGAAGATTATTGTATAATAGAATTATAAAAAAATGTTAGACAAGTATTGTAATTGGTACTTTACCTCTTTGATCAAATTTTATTCCAATTATTTATAGTTAAGGGAGAATTTTATATTACTAATCCTAAAATGAATTCTTAATACTATAAAGCACTTTTTAATTTTCATATTACAAACGTTTTCCATAAAATTTATGGAACATGATTATTTTGTGAAATTAATATACTGTAAATAGAAAGTTCCATTTAATAAGAAAGACTGTGTAGTTCTAATATTTTTTTTTCGTCTAAAATATATCAAAATTAAACAACCTTAATATTTTTTAAGATTATAAGATATTAACAAATGGAATAAAATCATTTCATAATAATGGAAAGAAGTTTAAGTAAATTATTTCCAAATTAATCAAAATAAAAAATTATTATGGAATAATATACTTAGTTGGATATTATATGATAACTGAAGTAAATAAGTAAATTACCGGTAAGTATCAATATATCAATTTCATTTATTTAACATTTTATGACCTTATTAAAAAAAAATTTAGATAATAAAAAAGAAATAATTTAACAAACGAAAAATAAAATGTCAAATTACTAAGGCAAATTTCTTACGTAATAATTACCAAATATATTATTTCTAATTCTATTTATTATAAATGATAATGAAATACTATATAATAGTCCAAACCTTCATTCAATGAAACAAGATGAACTGGAAATTCCTACCGCCAACTCCTTATTGTAAATTTATTTATTCTTTAGGTATATTTTTTTAAAATTTTCCTTTGATACTGTAAGTTAACAATAACATCATTATGTTTAAAGTTTTTGTCATTTGCTTATGATATATATCAAATCATTCATTAGAAACTAAGACTAGAGTAATAATTGGTTTGCAAGATTTTTTAAATACATTTATTTATTCTAAGTGATAAAATTTGTAGTAACAATCTTTAAACTACAATGGTATTTATATTATTTATATTAAATTTAGGCCTAAATTAATTTACTGAAATCGTAATGGACTATTAAATATCTATTATAAAATCAAAAACTACATATCAGATGGGCTCATTTTAAGCTTAACTTCGATTAGTGATCAGATTTTCCGTTTTCCTTTATACATATATGTAATAAAATTAATGACTACGTACACCTTCTTGGATATACAAATGTTGGTCTTATATCATTTACCAAAATAAATTAGTTTATAGTGATCTTCACAAAGCCACTGATCAACTAGCGTTTTTCAGAAAAATTTCTTTTATTTATTCTCAAATGTTGCGCAGAATAATCTCCCTTTTACTGAATTCCACCTTTACCTTTAGTCGCTACGAAACCTTTCAACTTCGTCCGTTCCACTCTTCAAGCCAAATTTACGAGCGTAATCTGAAACAGTAATACAGTATAAAGAAAGGTTTAATCTAATATCAGAGGTCTTTTTCGCTTTGCTTCATAAATCACGTAAATGCATGAAATTAATTCTAATTTGCTTATAAACTTACCAACCAGTAGCAAATTTAAAGAATTCGCAAGAACGGCGTAAACTTTTGGAGATTGGAAAGGTTTGGGAGAACTATAAACCATTTGAATGACGTGAACAGGACCATGGTATAAACTGCGGGGCTTTTTTCCTTTATTTTTACTTTGGATTATCAATTATTTTCTTGTTTAACAGAATTTCAGGCAATGCATATCTATCTTAAAAGAAATCAATGTCCTCAAAGCCACTACAAAGATCTCGTCTGTGGACCTTTTACGACGTACGACTGTGAGTTTTACTCAACAAAGTTGCTCTTAAAGGGAAATACATTAGGATTAGCAGGAACACGAGAAGTATGAAACTCATTGACTGGGCTTCATGATGACTTGGATAAGATGCCGGAGGTGCTCTGAAAAATATACCCCGCCACATTTACTTTAGTAAATCAGATAATCAAGTCATCGAAATCCGAAATCACCTGCTTGCAACTTAAATAATTTGTACTACAAGTTAGATCATGAAATTGACATTGGCGAAATAAAGAAGGTACATCGCGTACTTTTAAAAGATACGCCAAAGGAGAATGTTAAATTTATAGATGGTAGGATTCAACGTGCAGGAGAGTTTCGGTCAGAAGTAGTAAAGGCATGTGGTTTTATTTAACCATTTATCCAGTAGGTTCTAGTTTACTATTTCTTATTTACTGAGATTCTTTATAAATAATCAACTATGACTTACTCCGTCCATGTTCTTTATAGTATCAATTTGAAGTACCTGCATTGACGGAAAAGTTTATACAATTTCGCAATGAATGTACAAAAAATCCCGGTGTTCATCATCTTATAATTACATGTCATATACTTTCGGCCTCCCTTCACATTCATCCATTTATCAATGATAATGGACGTCTTGGTCGTTCAATTATGGCATTATATTTCATTCGCAACGGTTATCCGCCAGTTGTTTTCCAGAAAATTCAACGATTAGAATATGCATTGGCGTTATTTCAGTCACAAACAATGAAGGAACCAGCTCCATTATACAGTATGATATTGGAAAATGTCTTTAATATTTTAATGAATAATCAAAAGTAGTGCCTTCCATGAAAAATAATATATAGCTTAGGATCATAGAACATGAATAGATTACTATGCATGTAATTCGAACTTATAATTACTAATATTAAATATAAAATGTCTTAATAAAAGAGCAATCCAACAGTATAGACTGATCTAGAGCGAATAACAAACAATTCTTTGTACTAGTATAGAGTGATTGACATGTCGTAAGTTTTAACCTAAATTGGGGAATGACTAATATTTTTACGTATGTTGTATGATTTACCGAAAATCGAGGTAAGTGTCTCGACCTCGTCTACCAAATCAGTTTTAGAATCCGATTTCAAGCCTATTACTTACGAAACAAAACCAGATTCGGAATTAATTATCAAATCCGCATTTCACATACTTGCAACTTCGAAATAGCTTTAGAAGATATGATAATTATAGATATACTAAGCAAATGCCATTTATTGCTTGCAACAGAAATCATAGAAATTATGGAATGTCTGGTAAATGGCACAGAAATAGAAAGGAATATTGTCTTAGCTGTAGCTGTTCGAGCAATAAGTTAAGTAGCATATGCGATCATGTGAAATTGATCACCTGAAATGCGCAGAAAGATATCGAAAAAAAATATCATGCGCAGTAAGTACGTCACCACTGTATCATGTGATTGTATAACCGCAGTCATCTGCATTACCTATTAATAAATTGGCCGAGAGTGCGTCATGCATTTTTCAAAAGGTTTCAAAAGATATGCTGATACAAAAGATATGCTGATAAACCATTAAAAATTATATATGTAGCGCCTGCAGTGAAGTTATCGTTGCTGGAAGAGAATATACTTTTGCATCTGATATTTATAGTATTGCAATACCCTATGTGGGAAATTCATCTGGATACACCACCATTTACTAATCATGAACATGATTATAATCTTGCAATAAATATTATTGATGGTATTAGACCGGAAATTGTGTCAGGAACTCCTCTAGAATATAAAAATTTGATGAAGAAACGTTGGGATGCTTAATCCATCAAAAAGACTTGATATATTTGCACTTGGAAGTACAAGAAATGAATTAATGAAATTATTCCAATCAGAAATAAATAATTTAGAAATGAATAAAGTAGAAGAAAATTATGCGAGTAGCAGATTATTTACAAGTAAAATTCACAACTTTGAAAATCTACCTGAATCAAGAAATTCAACAAAAGGTATAAGTTGTATTAACGATTTAATATCCTTATTTATGATAAATTATTGATTTATCATTATATATTTTTTTTTTGAATTAAATTATAATAAAACAAGAAGGTATAAATTTATAGTTTTTGTCTTTTTTTCTCTTTTAATTATCATAATTTAATCTAAAGTAATTTATTTTTATATAATAGCATTTCGTATACCTTAACATTTTTGATGATACAAAGTATTTATTAATATTACATAGTGATGCGATCTTATTTTTTTTAAAGGGCCATCTGGATTCCAATCCGGATCCAGCTCATCCGGATGATAATCCAGATCAATGGATTCGGATCCATCTGGATTAATCCTGTCCAATTTTTAGGATTTATCTTTAATTACAGATCAAATTTTAACGGATGATCCTTGTACAGTATATCAAAATTTCCAATTTACTAAATATCATTTATAAATTAACTAATTATAATAAATATTAATAAGTTTACGTTATTTAAAAAAATAATGGTGTAGTTAGCCGAAAAATTCAGCCGAAGGCGCAGTAAATTTTCGGCTAACAACCCAGCCGAAAAAAATTCATGTTGATCTAGAATATTTTTTGAATATTTTATTGGTTCAACATCATCTATTTTCGGCTAGATATTTACGGCTAACTACATTATTATTTTAAAAAAGTGTAGTTAGCCGTAAATATGTAATTATTACAATAATAATAATTATACTTTTCTTGATAATATTAATTTATATAATACAGAATTGTCAATTATTAAATGTTATTGTTTGGTGTAAAATTGTTTCTTTAAAATGTTTAATTTTAATATTTGCTTGTAAATAATTTTTAAATTCTTTGGTTTTCTTTTTAAAAAATTAAATACCAGGTTTTATTTTTTTTTGATCGATTTGAATTAGTTCTAACAATTCTAATGATCTGCATGGTTAATTATAGCTATGGGAAAATTATATTATAGACGCGGAAAATTATATTATAGACGTGGAAAATTATATTATAGACGTGGAAAATTATATTATAGACGTGGAAAATTATATTATAGACGCAGTAAATTATATTATAGACACGGAAAATATTCAATAAAATGGATTTAAATATAATCAAAGATAATTTTTTTTTTTTAATAAACTTTTTTTCTTTGTTATCAAATTTGATAAATTTACTGGAATTCTTCACTTAATTATGGATTCTATTTCCACTAAACAACTTTTAACTAAAACTAGAAAATTCCTTGCCAAATCACCAAGTTTAAGTGAGATAATGTCTTATGGACAAAAGCATAAAAAAATTCAAATTTTATCTTGTGATCTTTCATATTTAGATGTTTATATATCTGAGGATATAGTTATAGATGAAGGTGCATGTTTATTACTATTACCAGATGAATTTAATGGTTATATATGTGCTGATACAACTGCTGATGGAAATTATAAATTTTGTTTGAACATTTATTATAGCTTAATAAAGTATAAATGATTATAAAATTTTATATATTTTATAAATTAAATAAGTTAAATATATTAAATATATATAAAATCATCACATTTTGATGTGCCTCCTTGTCTTGCTGGTTCGCTTTGGTCTCCTGGAATATTATATATTGGCGTTTCTTGCGCTTCTGATATTTCGGCTAACTACACTATTATTTAAAAAAAGTGTAGTTAGACGAAAATATTCAGCTGAAAATAGTAGATGTTGAACCAATAAAATATTCAATAAAATATTCTAGATCAACATGAATTTTTTTCGGCTGGGTGTTGTTAGCCGAAAATTTACTGCGCCTTCGGCTGAATTTTTCGGCTAACTACACCATTATTTTAAAAAATATTTTATTAGATTTAACAAAAAATAAAATAAAATAAATAATTAATAAACAAAATTTAAATTTTCTGTGATTCGTCCCATTCTTTTGCAAAAACTTCCATTGAACGAATATTCCTTTTTCAAAAACCCGCCAAATTTGTACCCAAATGCGTTCTTTTAACTGAAATTAGATTACTAACATGTGAAAATAATCTTGGTATACCAAAAAATTGTGAGAATTTTGCTCCTATTATTTGTTTTGCGAAAATTAAAAAATAATAAAAGGGAGTTACCAGTCATAACTTAATACTTATGGCTCAATGAGAAAATTTTCGAAATAGTGAAATCGTAAAATTAAGAAAAATTGATAATATATATTTATCTAGATCTACTACCGCTATTTGCCTAAAAACGTCAGGTACGGTTCAATACGGATTGAGGGGGATAAATTCGGGTTGACCGGATTATGGATCACGAACACTTACATTTTTATATAATTTTATTTAATAATTGATATTTGTTTTAATTTTGATTTTAACAGATCTAATAAGCAAAATAACAACATATCATCAAAAAAGAATTAATATTTTTAATGGTAATTTATTTAATTTTATTTATAATATAATAATATGTAAATGAATGAAATATTAAATCAAAATATTAAATTTTTAATTTTAGAATATAGTGGAAAGTTGTCAAAAGGATTTAAAAAGTTACAAATAAATTTAAATAGTAAGTAAATTAGTAAATAAATTATTCATTATGTCAATTTAATTTATTAAATCATGACTATAATTATAAAAATTTTAGACGATTAAAAAGAAATAATTCAACAACAAATAGAAAGGAAAAATATTGATATTAGTGATAGATAAAAATCTTATATAATAATAAAATATTTTTAATCCTATTTGTTTATCTTCTTATAGATGATGATGAAATATCTAATTCTCATTCAAATGAACGGGAAATTTCTGAAAGTAATTTTAAATTGCTTTATAAAATTAATTTTTATTTTTTATTTTATTAATTTATTCTTATTATTAATTTTTATTCTTTAGATGGATTTGGATCTTTTTTTTTTTTTTTTGATAAATTAAATTAATAACGTTTATTATTAAATTTGAATTTTTATCTTATTTAGCAACAATAGACAAGTAATATATTATACATTATTCTTAGTTCTCCAATTACAACAATGACTACCGTAAATTATAGCTATTTTTAAAAGTAGTAATCATTGATTTTTATTACATATACTCTATGATATACTTTACAGTATATATAAAGGAAATCAAGAAATCTGAAAATCAGATCACTAATCAAAGTTAAACTTTTTTTGTCATCACAAGAAATGCACACAGTCATACTATTATATGTTGCAGCATATTAAAAATATTCATTTGTAAAAGTCATGAAATCTTCATAGAAATGGTTGTCTGAATTTTTATTCACCGTTTTGAGAAGGTTATAGCGACTATATTTGTTGGGTAATTTTTACTGTTATGAAGTTTTTTAAAAAAAAGAGGGAATCGGGAGTTCACGTGAATTTCCATGATATTGTAAAACTACACTTTTCGAAAGCAGCTATAAACAATTAAATATTGTTTTACGAATTTAAAATAAATTTTTATTGAGATAAACATTATAAATCATGACAGATTATATACTGTAATAACTATAAATAAATTGTAATATTATAATGTCACTACATTATATATATATATTAAACATAATTCTCAATGTAATAATTTCTTTATTCATTCATTCAATTTAATGCAATTTCATCAAATTATATATTTAATTCAAAACCTTTATTTGTAATCCATATTTGCAACTAAAAAAAAAAGAAATGATGATTTTACAAAAGTTCTTTTTTAACTTGTATATTGCTTCTTTAAAGAAATATAATAAAATTGAAAGATTTCTTATAATATCTAATATCCGTTATTATTTAATATGTTGTTTATTAAAATAGATTCGATTGAACAAAAAATTTAAAAAGCACCAACCATGTTTATATTGATTTTAATAATATTTTATAATAATTTTAATCTATTAATTATATATTGGATATAAAATCAAATAAATTGAGAAATACTGTTTATTTATTAAATATAGAAGTACATATTGCTAATAATTTATAATAATCAGAACAATCTGGTAGTATTTGATTAAAATTGCCGTCACGAAGATTCACGTGATTTTTCATCCCCGGTAAACGACTCTAGCAAAAAAAATGGTAACCGGATCTGTTGTCTTGATCCTTGATCCGCGCACATGATCCGAATGATAAAACTTTTTATTGAACTTTACGTCACACACCACCTTTCTTTCTTTTACGAAATATTTTTAATATTTTTCTAAAAATTGTTAACATGTCATATCAGCAATAAAATAAGGTTGTAAAGGGTGTCATTATACTAGAGAAAGCTGGGAATTTTTTAATGAAAAAGGAATTATTTTGAAAAATGTTGCAAATGCTAAAATAATATTACAAGATCACATTCAATAAAAAAAACAGAAAATCTGACGCGACAATTAGTTATGCAGGATTTAACAGAAACCATATACAATTCCTTAGTCTCTTATGAATAATACTAATGAACTTTATGAAGGAAAAAATACTGAACTAAGCATGAGTTTTATGAGTTTTGTATTGAGTTATCAACAGTGAGTTATTGAAAATATTTTAATTGTGAATTGGGCGTTATATAGTATCTCTTATATCAGAAGGTGATGGTTACATATGGGTTTACATATTAAATCAGAAAAAGGACACTCTACTTTTGACATAACATGTTTAATAATTTTATTTTTGTAATATATAAGAACAAACTATTAGCGAAAATCAAATCAAGTTAATTATATTTACAAATAAAATACGTGATCCATTATAGCGAAAGTAAAATGTAGTATCTTAATAATTTATTATGATAAATAATAAAATTAAAAATACATAAAATAACTTAACATTTTTTTGTCAATAAAAAAATGCATCACAATAAATTTTTAGTTAACAGACCAAAAAATTTTCAGGTTTAATTATACAACTTGTATTTGTTTTTACATATTTTTTATTCTAGGTAGCGTAAATTTAGTTAATACAGTCAAACCTTTATATAACGATATGTCGGGACATATATAAAATTTTTAGAAAATATCGTTATATCAAAGTTATACCGATATTTATATGTCCTCACATAGAGTGGGAAAATAAAATTTTATCGGTATATCGGTATATCGAGGTTAGACTGTATAAATTTGCATAACTATACTTTCATAGGTAAAATAGCTTTTTTTTAATCAATAAGTAAATAATAATATAATAATTACTGAAAATAATCGTCCGGATCATGTGTGTAATCTAGTAACGGCACTCCTTACTTAATTTTAGCCGAATGTCATAGTACGGGCCATTTCGTGAATTTTTTCCTGGGGTAGTCTGGCGTAAAATACTGCGCCTCAAGGTTAATTTATATGGGGGTATTGATCACCAATTTGCATTTACTAATTTATCTCGGAGTTTTTGGTTAGTGAACGAACTTAAAAAAAATAATTCTTTCTTGATTACATTATGTCCACTCTTCGATATGAGCTAATTCATACAACAAATACCAAAGCATTTACATTATTAGATACTAGTATTCACGATGATATACACAAACAACATGAGTTTATGCGACAAACAGTACTTGCTGATAAAATTCTTACAAATGATGAAAAAGCTTATGCGATAAGAAAATTAACTAAAAGTTATGATCGAAATAAAGTTATGGATAATGTTGGTACAAAAAGAATTTGTGAGAATTGCAGTCAAGAATGTTTAGCTACATTATATTGTGAATATTGTGTTCGAAATTATTTAGAAGAAAATTTTTCAAATTGGACATCTGGAAATGATGATATTGATAATTTAACACAAAAATGTCAAATGGAATCACTCACGCCAAGTAGAATAGTTGAATGGATCCCATATAGTAATTTAGAAAATATTAAATATTTAACAAAAGGTGGATTTTCTGAAATTTATACAGCAGGTTGGATTAATGGACATTATGATGAATGGGATATTAAGGAACAACAATTAATAAGATCTGGAGATGAAAATGTAATACTTAAAAGTCTAGAAAATGTTGGAAGTGCAAATAAAAGTTGGTTTGAAGAGGTCTGTATAATTTTATTATAAATCTATTTAAAAATTTAATGTATTTTATATAACTTAAAAATTTTAATTTCTATAGGCTAAATCACATTTAACTATAAGTAATAAATGGGCAGATATTGTTCGATGTTATGGATTGACACAAAATCCATCAAATGGAAATTATATGCTTGTAATGACAAAAAGGGATATAGATTTAAGAAATTATTTACAACAAAATCATAATCAACTTACATGGAAAGAAAGAATTAATATTGCTTCTGAAATAATTCTTGCACTTTTTTATATTCATTTTGAGAATGCAGTTCATAGAGATTTGCATTCTGGAAATATATTATATTTCCAAATTAATAATAATTGGTGCATTAGTGATCTTGGATTTTGTGGACCTGCTGATAAACCATCAAAAAGTATATATGGAAATCTTCCTTACATAGCGCCTGAAGTTATTGTTGGAAGAGAATATACTTTTGCATCTGATATTTATAGTATTGCAATACTTATGTGGGAAATTTCATCTGGACAACCACCATTTATAAATTATGAACATGAAAATGATATTGTAATGAATATTATTAATGGTATACGACCAAAAATTGTGCCAGGAACTCCATTAGAATATAAAAATTTAATGGTACAATGTTGGGATGCTGATCCATTAAAAAGGCCTGATGTTAATGTACTTAATAAAAAAATGCAGAAAATTAATTTATATTATCAAAATATGCCAGATGAATTATTCCAATCAGAAATAAATAATTTAGAAATGAATAAAGTAGAAGAAAATTATGCGAGTAGCAGATTATTTACAAGTAAAATTCACAATTTTGAAAATCTACCCGAACCAAGAAATGCAACAGAAGGTATAAGTGTATAATATTTTATTAATGAACGTATTTATTTTAAAATACATTATTAATGTTCTCTTTTGTTTGAATTTATATTATAATAGAAGAACAAGAAGGTATAATTGATAATTTCTTGTCATATTTTAATTATTATAATAATTTAATTTTTAAATACTTTATTTTACTGCTAATAGCATTTCATAGTAAATTGTATGACTTTAACATTCCTAACAATAGTAAGTACTGCATTTATTAACGTTACCATTGTTTAATTTTTTTATAATAACATAGGTTTTAATTAAATTGGTATTTGTTTTTAGTTAATGATTTTAATGGATCAAATAATCAGTATAGTAAGAAGTTATCAAGTATAATTAATTAAAATGATTTGTTTAAAATAAAAATTTAAATATTAAGATCTATTTCTACACTCTTATTTTAGGTGATAGTGAAAAATTACCCAAAGAATTTATAAATTTGCAAATAAATTCAAATAGTAAGTGAATAAATGAATTTATTATAGCAATTTCATTTATTAAATAACGTGACTTTTATTTTAAAAATTATTATGACGAAAAAGAAATAATTCAACAACAAATGAAAAGGAAAAATATTGATAATGACGATAAGTAAAAAAAAAAAAATAATAATAAATAATTCTTTTGTCAATTAATTTAATGTGGCTTTTATTTAAAAAATTTAGATGATGAAAAAGAAATAATTCAACAAAAATCAAAAAGACAAAATATTGGTGATATTGACGGTAGGCGAAAATTTTGTAACAATAATTTCAATTTTATACTAATTTTTAATATTTCTTACAGATGATGACGATGTATATAATCTGTCTCTTATACACATCTAGATGTGTATAAGAGACAGATCCAAACCTTCATTCAAAAGAACAAGATGATCTGGAAATTCCTGATGGTAAGTTTTTAATACTTTAAAAAAATATTTATTATTTTTTTTTGTATTTATTTTTCAATAATTAGTATTTATCTATTCATTAGACGGATTTTAAATTTTCCTTTGGCAATAAGTTAACGATATCATTATTATATTTGAAGATTTTATCATTTATTTATATTTTATCTTGAATTATTTAAACACTAAGACTAGAGTAGTAAAATAATATTTTACAAGATTCTTAGTTTGTAATTTAAATAATTATATAATAAATCAATTCGAATTATTAAATATGTAAATTATCACAAAAAAGAAAATGTTTATATGTTATAACTAAATTTATCGTTTCTTTTTAATAAGAAAACCATGATAAGAGGAGATTCTTTAACGAGATTTCCCTTTACAAATTTTCATATACATAAGAAAAGTAATGGATCGATTTAAACTAACCCAAGATCCATTGATTTATCTGTAGAAAATGAAAATGAAAAAAGGAAAATTATTATTTGGTAAATTATATAATGAAAATAGATAATTCTTCGTAAGTTATATGTATATTTTTTTGATTATTTTTTTTAAATCGATCGTTGTTAGAAAAGGTTGGAAATATATTCTTATATTATATATATACACATTTTTTTTTTAATACTAAATTATTAATTATTGGAAACTGTACGTTAAATAATTATAAAATTATGTTTTTAATTAATTGATATATGAAAAGTTGAATCTTTTTTTGGATGATTTCTAAACATATTAAGAAAAGTTCGTCGAAACAATCTAATATCATGTGATAAACAATCAACAAAATTTAAAAGTTATTCACGTATCAAAAAATAAAAGCTAATTTTTTTCTAAAAATAATATTTATATTATTTCTGTTATTCGAGGAGAATTAGCTAATGCAACTATTACCAGAGCAACCAAATCGATTTTGGCGAATATCGGGCGTCAACTCGATCCAATTCAATTAAATTTGTGAATGCACTCATTGTTTGTTATTTCATTATTTATGAATTAAAATTTTTTAAACAAATTAAATAACTATGTGAGTGACTAGGTATCTTACTCGAATCATAAATCTCAAATCTTTCTGATGATCACGCTAAAATTAATGGATTTTATTAATTACAGTACTAAATTTGATGCTTACATGTAAATTAATTATCTAATCATACATTATTATCAATACAATAAAAGTAAATAAGTAATATACAATATATAATCAACTATAACTATGATTACAAAGGAGCCAAAGCGTAAACTTTATTATTCACCGCTTGACCTAAAAAATAAAATGAAAAATCAATAAATAATTTTTTTTTTTATGTTTAAAATTAAAATATCATATTAAATACAAATTTTACTTACCATAACCACTTCCAACATATACAACACCATTAACAATACTTGGACCACAATTAAGCGCTCCTATGGTTTGAAATTCGAATAAAGTTTCACCAGTTTCAGCGTTTAAAGCAAATAATGTACCATTAGTATCGTAACTTGGATAATAAACTACCCCATTAGAATATGATATTGGAGCTGTTCCGCCAGATTGTAATTTATTTGCTGTTTGCCATAATATTCCTCCTGTTGTAATATCAAGCGCCACAATTGCACCACTATATATTGTAGATGGACTACCTGGTGCAGGTTTATCCAATACATATTGCAGATTATTAGCATTTGCTTGTGATACAAAGTATCTTTTTCCATCAGTCCTATTTAAAAAGATTTTTTTTTTTTAAAAAAAAAAAAGGTTAAAACATTATTCTTTGAAAAAAAAAAAATTCAATGAAAGATAATTACGCGCAGCCAAATAGAGATCCGCCTTACAAAAAAAGTACATATTAATATTATTTCTTTTGGAATCAACGGCTTTATTTTACTTAATTTTAACTTACCACCCACGGCTCCGGGACCAGAATTAGTAGACCAAATAATTTCGCCAGTGGCAGCATTTAATGCCCATGTAATCCCTGATTTTGCAGTTGCAATAACAAGTTGAATGCATTCGCCAGACGAATAACATGTATTAACAAGTAAGGGCGCCTGACCAAAATCTAATTTTGTAAAAAAGAAAAAAAAAGATATTTTCGGTATCCCAAAATTTTAATTTTCAACATAATAAACATCAAATAAAATTTACCATAATCAGGTCCAGCCGGAGTTGGACAATTTTGTGGATTCGTTTGATTAAAAACACAGGCAACAGTCCAATTATCTAATCCTGCTGTTTTTCTTGACCATACTATTTCTCCTGTATCTATATTTAATGCAAGTATAGCATCAAAATGATTATTAGGATCATGACATTTCATCATATCTACACTATTCGTAGCATTTGCTACGCAATCTGCTACATAGCTCGGAGTCTTTAATAAATAAAAAAAAAAAAAAAATATTAATAAGATAAATAAATTACATTGAATTTTATTTAATTTTTTTCAATCGTCATACCTCATAATTATTTCCGGTAGCAATATAAACCAATTTATTTACAGGATCAATTGCTGGTGCAGAACCCCAAACCGCATTTCCAGAATATAAATCAGATCTACCATTGTTATCAGGTAACATAAAAGTTTTCCAAATAATATTACCAGTTTTTAAATCTAACTTGACAAAACTTCCTCTAAAAGTACAACATTGATAATTTGGTATACTTGATGAAGCTGCTTCTTCTTTTGAAGAAACTCCAACATATACGCCACCATCATAAATTGTAGCAGATTGTGTTATAATTGCATGAGGATGATTATCAAGTAATGTACTCCAAACAAGTCTACCATCAAGATCAACAGCTACGATATAAGGATTTGAACCATTATCTGAAACTTGAGTTCCAAATACTAATAATTTTTCTACGGGATCTATTGCAATAGTTGTGCGACTTAAGACTCTCGGATCTGATGGTTGTGGTATATATGATAGTGATATATTATAAGCCCAATTAATTTGACCCGTTTGTGCATTTACCGAATATAAATTTCCTGACCAATCAGGAAAATAAATATTATTTTGAAAAGTAACAGGAGTAGCTGAAACTGAACTCCCTGTCTCAACAATAAACTTAACCTATAATACGACGTCATAAATTAAACATGAATAATTATTAATTTTTTTTTTATTAAAGCATGAAATTCTAACCTTTAAAGAACCGACATTAATTGGAGAAATTATTTCCTCTTCATCACCGTTACGATTATTATTTATACCAGTTCCACCGAAACTAAGCCAATCTTTGTAAGAAAATACATTTATGACATGATGAGTGAATAAAATTGAAAAGAAAAATATCGTACGAATAAGTTTCATTATGAAATTAAAATTTATTAAATTAAATTAATAAAATTGGAAGTTCCATACTTAAAAAAAAAATTAAATTTTTTTCTCTAAACCATTAGTAGATAAAACTACTTTAATAGGAATAAGATTTTTCTTTGAAAAGTTAAACAATGTAACAGATAACAAAACTTTTTTTTGTTACGCGATAAATAAATTGTAGATCGGTACTTAATTTTATCATACGTAAATATTATGTCACGAGGATATCAAATAAAGCCATTTTTGGTTAAACAAAGATATTGAATAGTGATTCGATAAATCGATGATTCTGATTATCGTCCGGTTTTTTTTTTTTTTGCTTAGATAATCCGTTGACTTTAAATTATCCGTTATAGTAATTAGTAAGGCCATAAAATGTTGTAAAAAAAAATTGATTTGTTTGATATTCATGTTGTATAATTTTTTTTTAAACCGAATATAAATTATTTATCCTTATTAAATATTGAGCAAATTATAAATACTTCAATAATTAAAACAACGGTGGACTTTGCAAAGTGGGTTTTTGTGATTAACATTGGAAATGATTGTGTTGTAGTCCAAAAAGCTTTTAAGTTACAATGCTGAACTGAAAAAAAAAATTTTTTATAAAAGAGAATGTATATTATTTAACAATAACTTTGTGGTGCTAATTATAAAAATATTTCGTTCTAATATTATATAAATATGATACATTGATACCACAGTAAACAATCACCAACCTTTTACTCCTTTATTTTTATTATATTCCATTCTATTGTAGCCGAGGTAAAATATCGTTCTCTACCACCGAACAAATTTAATCTAATGTAAGCTATATGTACCGTGAATTTATTGATTTCTAAATAACAAGGAATGAATTTGCTAACTAAAAATTAATTATTAATTATCGGTGCCACTGAATTGTATTCCATTATTCCATTTAAATCGCAAATATATTTTCAGCGTTTATCTTATCATTTTCCATAAGATTGCACTTCAGTTCAAGTAAAGACTTCAATTGATACGTCTCTTCTTTTTAGACTTGATACATTGACGTAAAATTTATTTTTAATAAGTTTAAGTTCATCAAAAAATAGCAAGAGGACCTGTCGCAAGCTGATTACAGCGGAGGCGAAGTCTATACTCTATAGTTGTCCGGAGCGAAGCGAAGGACTATATATGTTTACGCACTATGATGATCTATGGAAATAACGTGTAAATTTTCAATCACGTGAGTTTCTCTGTCCAGGAATTCCAAGGCGTTATGCTGCTAATCAGCAGAAAATTACCGGAATTCCAAGGCGTTATGCTGCTAATTAGTAGAATATCGCTACATCTTTATTTATTATACCTCGCTCCGGACTTACAACGGTTCCCGTTTCCTAGTCATATGAAGACTAAGTTCCATGCGTAGTTACTGCAGTTACATAAATCATAGAAGCATGCTAACCTGGAATTGTTTTTCAAGACGTATTGCATTCTTCTGTGTATAATGCTATATCCCCTGCAACTGTAATTTAAAACTTTTTGTTAACGCTCGCCTTATTCTTGAAAATTCTAACAATGTAAATTATTGTCAGACGAAGCCAAATTATATCTTAATATAAATTTTATAGATTTAGCAGAATACAATCATAAACAACAAACTCAAGTGTATTATTCTTCTGTAATGTTGAGATTCTTAAAAATATCTGATCTCCCTCTTGATGAATTAAAAATTAAAAGTAGGAGTACAAATTATACTTTTGTGAAATTTAAATCCATCAGAAAGACTTTGCAATATATAGTACTAGGCTAATTATTTGTAATCTTTAAGATAAAGTAATTAATGCAATTGTTAACAGATTCTCACATTAATTGGTAAACATATCTTTATATCTTGAATTACATTAAAGGGGTAGTATATTCCCATTATAATTTACCCTTTACTTTGAAGCAATTCAAATATTTAGTAACACATATGAAGAGTTTTCCATAAGTTCAATCTAATATTTAGGATTACAAATTTACAATATTTTTTATTTATTAATTTAATGTTTAATTATACTGTAACAAATGATGCATGTCAGGTTGAATATCAGTTATCAACTGACGCAAATTGACACTAGAGGCAATAATTTAATATAAATCAGAAATTTTTTTTATTCATATCACAATTTATTTCCGAGATATTTTTTTTTATACACACTTTATTAGTCAAACTCATTTGGCTGCTAGTTTCTTATATATAAAATTATAATACTTTACTAATAAGCTAAAAGATAAGTAAAGATAATCTGTTACTATTTGTTAAAGAATTAAACTTGGGTCTATATACTGTACTAACTTAGACTTTTCTAATAATACTTCTCTATTAACCATAATTTACACTCCTTACAACTACATAATGATTGATAAAATCCTTGTTTTAATTCGACACCACCTGGTAAGATAATTAGTTGATTTTTGGGGCTGAGCGAATATACTACCCAATGAAAGATATCCATTATAAATGTTCTGTTTATCATATTACTGATATCTATTCCCATCAGGGACTACTTTGACCATTTGCCATTTCTCTTTTGAGCATGCCTTATACTGTAAATAAATAATAAATGTATTTTCCAATTGGAATATTTTCAATCTTTTTATTATTTTTCATTAGATTTAAAGGTGTCACTGGTTTCTTTTGTTAAGCAGAAATAGATACTGAATGGATAAGAATTATGATTGTTATTATATTGACAAATTAGAAACAATGACCAGATTCATGTTTTTAGTCTCAGTTTGTTCTCTATTATAACTTCACGTATTATTAATTGTATTGGACATTTTACTTGTAATACTTACTATAAATATGTTATGTCTGATTTTATGGAAATGTATTTTCATTTTTCAACTTGTCTGATTGATACTCAACTGAAAAGATATCAGAAAGTTGAGTCAGATCACAAGGAAATGGCGATACTACGGGATCATCGATCAGAAGCAGCACAAATTCTTTAAAAAAATTTTATCCGTTATTTCTGTAAAAACTTCGTAAAAATGAGCCTTTCACGGAACCATTCACGGAAAATGTAAATAATTCGATAAAAAATTCCGTGATATAAGTGATATTAATTGAGCCTTTTACGGAAAAAAAGATGGAATGTAAGGCTTTTTTTATAAGGAAAATGAAATAACTTGAATTGAATATATTATAAGTGAATATATTCTGAAGTAAGGTATAATAATAAAGATTATATTATTAAAAAAAAAAGAAAAAAAATGATCTTTTTATATTATTTTTAATTGTAATACAAGATATCAAATATAGACGTAATAAACTTTTTCTTATATGATTTAGTTGTATTGTAAAGGATTTCAATATTGGATGTCTAATAAAAATATTGGTAATTAAAATCCCGCATATTCCTTTTATCACATCATGAGAAAAAAAAAACACTTTTGGCATGAGTCAATTGCAGATTTTTTATATACAACAAATAAGTATTAGTAGCGCTATTCGTCACTGCAGTATTCCTAATTGGAGAGGGATATCGGTCTTCGATATTATGTAATGTTTTAACTTTCTCATGAGTCAATTATATTATAAATAAGTAATAATTGGGGACCTGTCTAGCAAAACAAGGGGTTGAGACCAAAAAAATTTTTTTTGAGATTTTATTATAATTGTAATTTTTAGTAAAATTGACATATAATTATCATATAAACTTAAAAATTTTTTTTTGAGACCAAATCCCTTGTTTTGCTAGACCAGTCCCCAATTATGTTGTAATAAATGTATTTTCGTCATTCGTCAACAAACATGATACTGCGCCAAAATTTGTTGAGGCACGTGATGTTAAGCATGTGACGAGAATCACGAGATTAATACAGCTACGCAATACGCAGCACCTAATCGTATCAAAGATTTTCTCGGCGAATATCAAATGCCGATATATAGCAAGAAAAGTAAGATATTTGGAACATCTATAGGGCCAGTAAATTGATTAGCATCATGATGACATGTTTAAAGAAGACCTCCTTATACAACATAGATCACGCGATCAAATAAATAGGAATAGGAAATGTAGGATAAACGATCAGCGTTGGTAAATATTGTAAATATGTAAATATTACGAATCATTTTTATTGTATCTCTTTTCTATTCATGAAATTCATAAAATTGGAAATTTCTTCATGGCGTGGCTTATCTATTGATTAGTTTATTTAGTTAGATAACGAACGCATTATTTTAAATTCTTGCAGTAATGACTTTATTTCGCTCAAGTTTCAATGATACAAATTTGTTTTAAAAGAAATTTTATTGTGAAATTGTGAAATTGTGAAATTTTTTTTTTTTTTTGAACATAATCTTTTTTTTTAAATTTTTACCAATAAATAAAAACAGAAGAATTATAAGAATCTAACGTGACGTACACACACTTTTTTTTTTAAAAAAAAAAGCTACGTAACCACATAATCACGTAACCACATAACTATACATAACTACATAACTTACTGTACATAACTACGTAACTAAATAACTAAATAACTATACATAATAAACTACATTAACTAATACATAAACTACATTAACTAATACATAATATTACATATAATCTAATATTTTTTATCGTATCATATTTTCTTAAAATCCCATTTTCTTTTTCTTTTTCTTTTTTTTCTTTTACGATAGAAAATAAGTTTTTTTAGTACAATAATGCTTACAAATTTGTCTACAAAAATAATGATCACAATCTTTACATCTTTCAGTAGTTTGTTGACACCTTCTACAAGAGAATACCTTACATTTATAACAAGATTTTTGAGGACATGAATTACAAATTAATGCATCAACATGACAAATATCACATTCTTTAATTATTCTATTTGAAGAATTTAAACATTTTTCTTCATTACAATAAAAAGTGTAACATTCTAAACATCCTTTATCTAAATCACAACTCATACAAAAATTATTTTGTATAAGACAGTTCCCACATTCCATAGTAAATGTTATATTTTCTCTACATTTCTTACAAAGATCTAAAAAAAAAAGGGGGTGATTAATATTATATAAAAACAATTTTTTTGGGGGAGGGGTGTGAAATAATGATTAATGTTATAATGTTATATATATATATTTAAAAAAAAAATTTAACATACCGATATCAAGTTGAATAGAATTTTCAGTATTTAACGTTTTTAAGGCTCTACTAAGTTCCACATAAACAAATTTATAATAAGAAACTCCAGAATCAATATTTAGATTTTGAGACATAAGTGATCTCGTATCCATATCCTTACACCAAAGTACCCTTAATTTATTTAATTTTAATATAGGTTGAAAAGGTTCAAACCATGTTAAAGCGGTTCCTAATTCACGAAGGGATAAACAAGAACAACCTCTTAAACTTATTTCTTCTAAATTCGGAAAGCCATTAATTGATTCCCAGATAGAAGTACAATTTATACTTGTAAAATCTAAATTAATAGTATTAACAGCATCTAATAAATTATATTTTTTAAGCATATTAATTAAATTTTTAATACATTTATCATCAATTCTACGTAATTTTTGTGGAATTGATGAAATATATTGTAAATTACTTAAATATTCTTTTTCAATTCGTTTATGTTCCTCAGGAGTTGTAAAATGAATGTTTCGCCATAATGGAGGATACCGTTGAACGAATACGAGTCCTTTACATGATATTGCTAATGAACGTAAAGAATATATGTCTATATATCGACAAATATCAACTATTATTTCGTAAGGAAATGTGATAAAATGTGGTTTGGTATTTTCATTATTTTTGGTATTATCATCATTGTCGTTGTTGTCGTTGTTGTTGTTGTTGTTATTGTTGTCGTTGTCGTTGTTATTCATGTGTGACTAAAGTGATTGATATTCTTTTGTTTTTTGTAGGATAAAGAGAATTAGAAATCGATTTAAATTATAAATTATTTTCGATAATGCAATATATGTACAATAAATTTTTACCTATCCAATTAAATCAAGCGTCATAAGAAATATATATATATATTAGAAAACGGTTACAATAGTAACATACAAAAAAAAAAAAAAAAAAAAAAAAAAAAAAATCGACGTAGAAATCGCAAAAACAACACGTCTAAACAATAAAAAAAATGGGACAAGGGTATCTTTTATATTTAATGTAGTATCACGTAACACTCTTTTAACTCTTACTTGAGCAATTTCGTTATACGACAATAAAAAATTGCAGATTAATCGTCGCTGTAATCATGAGAGGATCGACTGTGTAAACTTGGCCGAACTAAATATAGACATTTTGCACCTCATTCATTCCGCTTATTTCCCATATTAAATATATTTTAATTTACAGTACGAATAACACGTGGTCTTCTTCAATAGAAATTGTGCTCAATATCAACACATGATATTAATTTAACTTTCTGTAACCCAGGGTGTAGAATCGGCAATCGAATTATATATTTAACAAAATATCCGAATAATAATATTATTTTAATGATTTGCATTGTTAAAGTATTTATTTGTTTCATATAATTGGTGGTTATAATCTTAATATTTGAAAATCACAAGCAAGTAATAAATGTTGTAAAAGTTGTAAATATGTAAATTATAGTAATCATATATAAAATATTTAGTATTTATGAATTAAAACGTTAAGTCCGACTTGTTATACAAAGCGATAAACGATATTACTTTCTCCACGAACAAATTCGGCGGCGCAGAAAAATTTTCTGCGTTTTTTAGATGTCTCTTTTTATGCAATGGATCTCAGTTAAATCGTTAAATTATTATTGAATATAAACTTGAATTAATTCCACGTATTCATGTAATAATGCAAATAAACTCGCTCACACGATATACGGTAATTATTTGAATCATTAAGCGTTAAAATTTAAATATTACGAAAATAACAATCGACATTTTGAGAAAATATTTTAACTTTCAGGATTATTCTTTATTATTATAATTATTTGTAACTTCTTTGTCATTCCTAATAAATTACTATTATTTTGTTTCAAGGTACAGTCATTCCTTGATATGACGAATTTTCTGTCTAAATACTTTCATAATACGAAGATTCGGTAATACTATAACGAAATATTCTATATATCATAACGAATAATCTGTATATCACTATAACGAATTATTATTATTACTTTAAATATTTTAAAAGATAATTAATATAATTAATATTGGTACAAAAGTAAATTACACGATTTTTAAAATTTTTAACATGAAATTTTATTATATCACTATATAAATTCTTTTAAAATAAAGTAGAATTTTATTTCGAGCAAATTTCTTTCTTTTGTGCTGCTGTAAGAAGTTTATGTTTCCTAGGGACTTCATTAAGTTGTTTATTACTGGGTTTTACATGTTGGGCTTTCGGTATTTTTAAAAAACAGCCAGAGTAAAAAACGACGTAAATAATATGAACGTATCCATTATTTATTAATTTTATGATGTGTGATTACGACATCGAGAAATGTTTTGTGATAAGTAGTCCTTTTATATAGTAAGATTCATTTCGCAAAATTCTTCGTTCATAAAATTTTAAAAAAATTCGTTATAAAAAATAATTCTTCAGTATATTTATTAAAAAACCAGAAAAAAATCAAGTTGGAGAAAAATAAAAGACCACACGAGAAACAAAGATACTTTTGGAAATCAATATATGAGAATTCAAATCAAAAGGAACATAAAATATATTGTTTAATGATAAATAGTTAAATCACTTAGTTTAGATTAACGTAATTTATAATTTTATAGAACTGGTTTTTTAGAAAATATAGAAAAGTACAAAAAAAAAGATGAAAATGTAGAAAGAACAAAAAATATTAAATAAGTTAAAAATGTAAAACGTATTGAAGGAATTTGTTAGTATAGAATTACTACGGTATAATTATTTGCGTTATTTTCAGGTTTTTACAGTTAGGTCATTTTTCACATTATGTCCGAAACACTGTATAGGATATGGTGATGGCAAATAGCACATCACTTTGATATATTGGACGAGTATATAATTAGTTGTCCAATTATATTCGGTCTAAGTATTTATGTAAAAGTTCATGTAGTAATGTAACATTTTATATTTTTATATAATAAAGAAATCTCTTTTTTAAAAAAATTCGGTATAAAAAAAATTCGTTATATAAAAATTATTTTATATACACAATTTAACTTTGTCGAAATTTAATCAGTAAAATTCTGTTTTTTTTCGTATATTAAAATCCGTACCACGTTCAAAATTCGCTATATTGTGTTATTCGTTATATCAAAATTCGCAATAAAAGAATAAATGAAATTAAAATAAATATTGCTTATTCTAATTTTAAATAAGTTTTTGCAAAAAAAATTACAAAATTACCTAACACTACTTATTTTTTTAATTCCGGCGGGTACTGGTCGTCGAATTATTATATGATTCCGCCATTCATTCCTATTCTATATAATAAAGATGATATAGAACAACGCGTATACCGCCCGTATACAAATTAAATAAATCGTTATAACGTTATAATATCCTGATACGTCATTTATAAACGTAGAGAAAATAATTAACGAAAAAATCAGATCTTCCAAATCCAATGAATTTTTGGTCAATGATAAAGGGGCTCTTAAATAAAATTAGTAGGGTTTATTTTTGTTAATTTCTTTTATTTATTTATTTTCTTTGTCAAAAAAAAGAGCGAGAAAGAAATACGTGAAAAAGAATATTTCGTTATATTTATTATGTATCTTGTGAGTCGTGACAATAACATAATCTGCCGCCGCAAGTTTTAACTAAGATAGTTTTTATTAAATACTGTATAAAGTTTATTGTTTTACATAGTAAAACAACATGGACGAATTTAAACGCAATAAAGTCGATACCAAAAACTTTACACCCAATTACCCAAACCTAATAAACTTTAATATTATACAATTTATTAACTATTAATATGTTTATTTTGAAATAATCTATAATTTACATCATTCAAACTTATGAATCATTCTGATAGCCGAACTTCGATGATTTCGTCATTAAGTGATACCAACGAGTAACGAAAAATGCGGTCATGTATTTTCAATGAAAATATTTATTTTATCAGTAGATTTAAAAATGAAAGTAATAAAATTATAATATCTAATTATATCCATTACGAATATATTTTAAAAAAATAATTTCTTAATCTTATTAAGATTTCTTTAGTAGTAATAAACTTGACGAACTTGGTATAACGATCATTCTTAAAAAAAATTGAAAATTTTGTTGAAATTAATTAAATTATAATTAAAAATTAAAAAAAAATTGCTCTAAGAAATAGAGTTCAAATGAAACTTAATGGAATGTTTGATTTTCAATAAAGTTTTAATGAAATTTATAATAAAAGTATTAAATAATTAATTGTATCCATTATAATTTATATTACATAACCCACGTGCCATATTTGCACAGCATAATTTCTTCTCTTATTATCCATCATAAAGATTTAAGCAATGAGTAATAACAAAATCCACAAGAAAATAAAAGAGGCCTTCAATAGAGGATTCAATAATTATGTTATATTATTTTCATCAGCTGCAGGTAAGTTTTTACTAACAGTTCCTAAACTGATTTTGAATACTGATAAACTAGCAAAAAATCAGAATAAACTGTACTTACGTATTCCACGTCTATTGTAAATGTTAAAGAATTTATGGTATTGTCGACAAAATGTTTGTAAATTTTTTTTATGGCTCCTTTGACCTGTAAATTTATTTGTGATCACAATATACTTTGTACTTTTCATTGAGTATATTATTCTATGTAGTTAAAATCAATTGAAAAAATGTATAATACAATAAGTATTAACCACGAGAAAAAAGGGATGTTCTTCATCTACTAGTTTTTAAAGCTTAAAATAATATTGTTATTTCGTCATTATCACGTAAATTATTTTTTGTTAACATACATTTTTATGGTAAAATATAAAGTAATATATTAAATTCAATAAATTATTTTTATATTGAACAATTTTGTACTTTTTTGTGCTTTTGTTATAGAGGAATCATACTACTTAAGAGTCGTAAGTTCTTGTAATTTATCAGTTTAATGATATAAAATAAAAAATATAAGAAGAAAAAAAATCATTAAAATAAAATTGATTTTTATTCTTTCATAGCAGTTTTTAAGTTCATCGCTTCTTTTTTTTATTACTATAACTAAATGACCTAAATTATTGTTAATTACTTGTAAATTAGCACCCATTTGCACTGTTCTAACTCCACTAACTCCAACACCGGCAAAGTCTAGGAATTTATTTCGTAGAAAAAATTATTCGTCGCATCTGCGCTATTACCGCTCTCTAATATATCTAGAGATGGTCAGTCGGTCCTGCGGTCTTTGATCGGTCCTGATCGGTCTTTAGGAAATTTTTGGAAAAGTAATAAGGCTGTGCTTCCAATTTTTTGTAGCACAACAGAACTGATTAAAGACCAAAAAGTGGTAAATTTTGGTCTCGATCTAATCACCCAACTTAGAGC